CGATTTTCCAGTTCTGACCCCCAACTTTTGTGCCCCTCCCCAAATTCAGGGTGAGGAAGCAGGTGGTGAACATCCCGTCGTTCATCGTGCGCCTGGACTCCCAGAAGCACATCGACTTCTCCTGCGCTCCCCGTACGGGGGGCGGCCCGGCCGCGTCAAGAGGAAGAACGCCAAGAAGGGGCAGGGGGGCCGGGGCGAGGACGAGAGGAGGGTGGGGACCCCAGCCCGAAGGCGGAGCCCCCGGGCGGGCGCCCGGAGTGAGTCCTGGGGGAGTGGAAGGGGGATTTTGGGGGGAAGGGGGGGCTAATGGGAAATTGGGCAGATTTGAGGGGTTTGGGGGATTATGGGGTGAGGGGATTTTGGGGCCCCCCATGATGGCAGCACTGGGCTCTGAACCCCCTGGCGGCGCCTGTGCCCCCAGGGACTCCTTGACACCCCGAGGGAGCGCTGAGGGGGCCCCTCAAGAGGGTTTTGAGGGACGCTCTGGGGAGGGTTTTGAGGAGGGTCCCCCCCTAACCCACCTTTCCCTTCTCTTCAGGTGCCAGTGCTCGGATGTTGGGGGGCCCTGGGGGGTCCCAACGATAAATGGAGTTGTCGTAATAAATGGAGTTGTTTCAACAATAAATGGAGTTGTTTCAACAATAAATGGCTTTCCCGTGTGGTGTTTTTTAGGAAGGGGAGGAGGAGGCAGGAGCTTGAGATTCTCAGGGTTTGGGGTTTTTTTGGGAGGGTTTGGGGTGTCCAGAGTCAGTAATGGGTTGCACTCAGACCTGAGGGGTCCACGTGCCTTTTTTTTTGGGGGGGTAGGGGAGAGGATTTGTGCCAACAGAGCTCTATAGAATAAAATTATAAATAAAAAAAGTACCATATGTGTTCCTGCCCTTCCCTCACTAAGGCCAGGGCACCGTTTTGTCCTTTTTTTTAATTATTTTTCACTTTCTCTTTTTTTTTTTTTGCAAAAATACTCGGGGGGAGAGAAGGAAGGGGAAGGGTTGGCGGTGGGCGGGGCACGAGGAGGCCCCGCCTCTCACCTCCCATTGGAGGAACAGCACATGATTGGCATGCAGGGGGCGGGGCCGGCGTGCAGTGGCCCCGCCTTGTTTGAGGAGAAAGGGGCGGGGCCTTGGCAATGGGTGGGGCCTGACAGCAGCAAGGCCACGCCCCGATTTACAGTTCGGCCACGCCCCCTTTGGCAACGCCCACACAGTGCAATGAACGGCCACGCCCACCGCGGGCTTGGCCACGCCCCCACATTGACTCCACCCCTTTAGCATTCTGGCCCCGCCTCCAGCGGGTTTGGCCACGCCTACATTCGCATTGGCCCCGCCCACACATGAATTGGCCCCTGTGGCTCCACCCACTCCCTGCTTGCCCCACCCCCAGCGCGTTTGGCTCCGCCCCCCGCGGGGCGTGGTTTGGGGGAGGGGGGGTTGTTTGGCAGCTTTGGGAGGCTCATTTGGGGGTCCTGGAGGGGGTCCCGATTGTGGGTCAGACCCCCATGGGGGCTCGGGAGTCTCTGAGGGTCCCGTGGGGGGTCCTGGTCCCTCTGGGGTCCCCTCGGGGGGTGGGGGTCACTTGGACAGTTTGCTGATGACCCGGATCAGCGCCTGCTTCTCGTCCTCGAGCCGCTGGTTGGCCGGCCGGCGAGATCCGACAGAGCCTGGGGGGAAAGGGGGTGGTGAATTTTGGGGGGTCAATTTGGGGTCAGTTGGGATTAGGGGTCCCCCTTTGGGCTTCACCTTCAGCTCCTCCTCCAGCTCAGCCGCCTTCAGCTCCAGCGCCCGGCGCTCCTGGGGGCCAGATGGGAGTTGGGGGGCACAGGGGGCACAGGGGGATTTTTGGGGGTTCCTCCCCTGCCCCCATCCCACACTCACACGAATCTCTCCAGCTCCAGCCGGGCCGGGCCCGCGCCGCGCTCCTGGCGCTGGGGGCAGAGATGGGGGCTCAGGGGGTCCCAGGGCTGGGGGACACTCAGGACACCCCCGAGCCCTCTTGGGGGGACACTCAGGACACCCCCTGAGCCCCTCCTGGGGGGACACACTCAGACACCCCTGAGCCCCCTCCTGGGACACTCAGGACACCCCCCTGAGCCCCTCCTGGGGAAGGGGACGCTCAGGACACCCCCTGAGCCCCTCCTGGAGGGGGACACGCTCAGGACACCCCTGAGCCCCTCCTGGGGGACACTCAGGACACCCCCTGAGCCCCCCATCCCCTCACCTGGGTGACCCTCTCGAGCTCCAGGCGGGTCTGGGTCAGCGCCAGCTCCGCCTCCTGCAGCTGCTCCCGAATCCGCTCGTTCTCCACCCAAAGCTCCTGGAACAGCTGTTTTGGGATGGGGATTGAGAGGGTCTCAAATTGAGCCCCACGACCCCAAATGCTCCTCCTCCCCCACCCAGGACTCACCTGCTGGTAGTCGAAGGCAGGGCTGAGCTGGGGGTCGCAGCCCATTGGGGGCTGGGGGCGGCTGGAGGGGAGGGGGGAAGGAGGTGAGGGGGGCTGTGACCCCTCCCAGACCCTCAACACCTCCCAGCCCCCCAGTACCTTTGTGGGAGGAGGCCCTGGGGTCCGTTGGGTCTCTGAGCCCGGGGGCACCCACCTTTGTTCACTTGCACGGGGGGTCGGGGGGCCGCGGGGCCCTGGGAGGGGAGGAGGTCAGGAAGGAGTGACCCCCAACATCCCCAAACCCCCTCAAGCACCACAGAACCCCACCCCAAAAACCCCCAGAAACTCACCAGGGACCCCCAGGACTCCACCCAGGACCCTCAAAATCCCCTTAAACCCCCTGACAGAACTCTCAAAACCTCTCAAAGCTCCCCAAAGCCCCCCAGACTCACCGCTGGGTCCCGCCTCCCCTCGTCTCTGATTGGCTGCTCGGGGCCCCGCCCCTCCCCGGCGCGGCCAATCACCTGCTCCGCTGCCTTCAGCTCCGATCAGGTCACGCCCTGGGGTCACGGGGGGGTCACGGGGGGTTTTTGGGAGGTTTTTTGGGGGTTTTGGGGGTCTCAGGGGGGGTTTGGGTCTCAAGGGGGTCCCACCTGTGTCGCCCTCTCCGGGCCTGGCGCATGAGGCGGCTCCGGGCCTTGGCGCCGCGACTCCGACTCCTCATCCCGGGCCGGGGCTGGAACGGCCTGGGGGCTCAGGAGGGCCTCGGGGGTTTGGGACCCTCCCTGGGGTGGGGGTCCGGGAGCCCTGTTCAGGGGGTGTTTTGGGGAGGAGAGGAGGGGGGTCTCACCTACGCGGCCGGGCTCGGCGGCTCCGGGGGCCCCGGGTCCGGCGCTGGCGGGGGCTGTGGGGAGGGGTGGAGTGTCACCCCCACCTCCCCTCCCCACCCTCCTCACCTGCTCACCCCTCCCCCACGCCGGACTCACCCGGGGGCGCTGGGGAGGGGCACGTGGGGCCCGAAACCTGAAAGGGGGCTGGAAAATGGGGGGGTCAGGAGGGTCCTCAGGCCACGCCTCCTCCCTGGGCCACGCCTATTTGTGGGTGGAGCCTCTGGGAGGGGGTGTGGCCTTTGGGAAAGGGGGGCGTGGTTTGCACTCACGGTGGGCGGGGGCCTGCAGGCGCGGGGAGGGAGGCGGAGCGGCGCACGGGGGCGTGGCCTTGGCGGGGGCGTGGCCTCGGAGGGTGGGCAAGGCCCCCAAACTGCCCGACCTGCAGAGACCCCCGGGGCGGCTGGGGGTGGGGGAAGCACGTTGGAGAGGGCGGAGCCAACAAGAGGGACCGGCCCCTTGCCCATAGAAGGAGGGGAGGGGCGTGGCCTTACCCGTGCAGGGAGGGGCCATTGAGGGCGTGGTTTTTGGCTGGCGGTGCTGCAGGAGGGTCTGGGGAGGGAGGGTCTGCACTGAGAACCCCCCCAAGAGAGTCCCGTGACCCCCAGAGAGTGCTGTGATCCCCCAAAGCCCCCTCAGAAATCCCCCAACAACCCCCTTGGAGACCCCCAGGAAACCCATCCCCCCTCCCCAAAACCACCCAGACCCCCCCAAACATCACCCTGAGCCCCCCAGGTCCCCCTCAGCCCCCTCAAATCCCCCCAAACCACTCAGAGAGCCCCCTCCCACCCCCACCCCGGGTCCCCCAGACCTTCGCCCAAAAACCCTCCCCCTGCACCGATTTTGGGGGGCTCACCCTGCGGGGGCTCGCCCTGCTGTCCCCCCTCGTCGGGGTTGTCCCCTCCCCGGGGTGCCAGGGGCGGGGGCAGCCTCCGACCCCCACCTCTCCTTGGCCTGGTCCTGCACCGAGAGCTTCTCCCGGAAGCTGCGGCGACACGGAGCTCCTGGGGGAAAGGAGGGGTCAGGGGGTCCTGGGAGGACTCTGGGGTCCTGGAGGGGGCGTTTTGGGGGTCTCACACGTCGGTGTTTGCCCCCCAGCAGGCTGGGGGCTCCGTCAGGGTCCGGCGGGGAGGAGCCTCGGTCCTTCTGGCTGCGCAGCTTTTGGGGGAAATGAGAAGTCAGGACCTCTCCCAGGGGAGGTTGGGGAGTCCTGGGGGGTGGGTCTGGGGAGCTCACGTGGTGCTGGCGCCGCTGCAGCTCCTCCAGCAGGGGAAGGGTCTCCTCGTCCGCCCAGGTCACAGGGGCGCTGGCCCTGGGTAAGGTGGGGGGGGAGGGAAGGTGAGGTTGGGGACCCCCCCAGAGACCCCCAGCCCACCCTCAGCCTCCCCAAGAACACCCTGACCCCCACCCAGAGACCCCCAGCCCACCCTCAGCCCCCTCAGCCCCTGACCCCCCAGCCCAGCCTCAGCCCCCCTGAGACCCCCTGAGACCCCTAAAACCCCCTCCTGGCCCCCTGGGACCACCCCCCTCACAGCAGGACCCACCCACCCTGACCACCCTGGGACCTTCCAGCCCCCCCCTCACCACGTTAGCTCCAGGGGGCTGGAGGTGACCAGGACCCCCCAGAGCCCCCAGCCCCCCTCACCACGTTGTTCCTGGGGGCTGGAGGTGACCAGGAGGTGACCAGGACATCCCCCAGAGCCCCCAGAGCCCCCCATAGCCCCCTCACCACGTTGTTTCCAGGGGGCTGGAGCTGATCAGGACCCCCAGAGCCCCCAGAGCCCCCAGAGCCCCTCACCCATGTTGTTCCGGGGGCTGGACCTGACCAGGACTCCCCAGAGCCCCCAGCCCCCTCACCACGTTGTTCCTGGGGCTGGAGCTGACCAGGAACCCCCAGAGCTCCCCAGCCCCCTCACCACGTTGTTCCGGGGGCTGGAGCCGACTCAGGACCCCCCCAGAGCCCCCAGAGCCCCCATGGCCCCCTCACCACGTTGTGTTCTGGGGGCTGGAGCTCACCAGGACCCCCAGAGCCCCCAGAGCCCCCAGAGCCCCTCACCACGTTGTTCCGGGGCTGGACCTGACCAGGACCCCCAGAGCCCCAGAGCCCCCAGAGCCCCCTCACCACGTTGTTCCCTGGGGGCTGGAGGTGACTCAGGAGCTGACCAGGAGCCCCCCCAGAGCCCCCATAGCCCCCTCACCACGTTGTTCCTGGGGGCTGGAGCGGCCAGGACCCCCAGAGCCCCCAGCCCCCTCACCACGTTGTTCCTGGGGGGCTGGAGCTGGCTAGGACCCCCAGAGCCCCCAGCCCCCTCACCACGTTGTTCCTGGGGGCTGGAGCTGACCAGGAGCTGACCAGGACCCCCCCAGAGCCCCCAGAGCCCCCAGCCCCCCTCACCACGTTGTTCCTGGGGGCCATGTCGCACAGGTGCTCGGCCAGCAGCCGACAGGCCTCCTCCACCCCCCAGTGCGCCGCCGCGTGCAGGGGGGTCCACCCGTCCTTGTCCCGCACGTCGGGGTCGTACCCGGCCGCCAGCAGCAGCCTGAGGGGGTCCCGAAATGTGGGGGAGCCCCCTCGGATAGGGGGGACACCCCCCTTCCCTCCCCTGGCCCCAGGGAAAAGGGTTGGGGGTCTTCCAATCCCTCCGCCCACCAAAACTCCTGGGACCCCCCTGGAGGAGGTCCCGGAGTTCCCCTCCCCAAACCCCACCCCGGGGTTCTCCCCAGGAACCCCCAAAACCTTCTGGGTCCAATCAAACCCCCAGAGCCCCCAAATTCCCCCATCCCCAGACCTCATGACCTCGATGTAGCCCTTGGTATCCCCAAAATTCCCCCCCTTAGATCTCATGACCTCGATGTAGCCCTTGGCAGCCCCCAAAATTCCCCTCCTCAGACCTCATGACCTCGATGTGGCCTTGGCAGCCCCCCAAATTCCCCCTCAGACCTCATGACCTCGATGTAGCCCTTGGCAGCCCACAAATTCCCCCAGACCTCATGACCTCGATGTGGCCCCTGGCAGCCCCCAAAATTCCCCCTCAGACCTCATGACCTCGATGTAGCCCCTTGGCAGCCCCCCAAATTCTCCTCCCCCCAGACCTCATGACCTCGATGTAGCCCTTGGCAGCTCCCCAAAATTCCCCCTCCAGACGTCATGACCTCGATGTAGCCCTTGGACCCCCAAAATTCCCCCTCCAGACCTCATGACCTCGATGTAGCCCTTGGCAGCCCCCCAAAATTCCCCCCCTCAGACCTCAGGACCTCGATGTAGCCCTTGGACCCCCAAAATTCCCCCCACCCCAGACCTCATGACCTCGATGTAGCCTTTGGTAGCCCCCCAAACCCTCTCAGACCTCATGACCTCGATGTAGCCCTTGGTAGCCCCCCAAAATTCCCCCTCAGACCTCATGACCTCGATGTAGCCCTTGGACCTCAAATTCCCCTCAGACCTCATGACCTCAATGTAGCCCTTGGCAGCCCCCCAAAATTCCCCCCCCAGACCTCATGACCTCGATGTAGCCCCTGGTAGCCCCCCAAACCCCCCCAGACCTCATGACCTCGATGTAGCCCATGGCAGCCCCCCAAATTCCCCCCCCAGACCTCATGACCTCGATGTAGCCCCTGGCAGCCCCCCAAAATTCCCCCTCAGACCTCATGACCTCGATGTAGCCCTTGGCACCCCCAAATTCCCCCTCAGACCTCATGACCTCGATGTAGCCCTTGGCAGCCCCCCAAACCCCCTCAGACCTCATGACCTCGATGTAGCCCCTGGCAGCCCCCCAAAATTCCCCCTCCAGACCTCATGACCTCGATGTAGCCCTTGGCGGCCGCCACGTGCAGGGCGCTGGCCCCGGTGGCCGGGTGGGGGCAGTCCCGGAGCTGCCCCGAGTCCAGCCAGAGCCGCGTGTCCCGCAGCATCCGCTCCTCCTCCGCACGCTTGGCGGCCACGATGTCCACGCCTGGGATTGGGGGGGGGGGAAAGGGGAGGGTCTGACCCCACCCGTGGCACCTGAACACGGCCCGTGACACCTGAACACGGCCCGCTTCCCGCTGGGCCACACCTGCGCTGCTTAAACCCCGCCCACATCCCCCAAACCCCGCCAACATCCCCCAAATCCCGCCAACGTCCCCCAAACCCCACCCACAACACCTAAACCCCACCCACACTGCCTAAGCCCCACCCACATCCCCAAACCCCACCCATACCACCTAAACCCCACCCACATCCCACCCACAATACCCAGACCCCGCCCACATCCCCCAAACCCCACCCACATCCCACCCACAACACCCAGACCCCGCCCACATCCCCAAACCCCACCCACATCCCCAAATCCACCCACATCCCCAAAATCCCACCCACAACAACTAAACCCCACCCATACCACCTAAACCCCACCCACAACACCCAAACCCCACCCACATCCCCAAAATCCCACCCACAACAACTAAACCCCACCCACACCATCTAAACCCTGCCCACATCCCCCAAATCCCACCCACAACACCTAAGCCCCACCCACAACACCTAAACCCCACCCACACCATCTAAACCCCACCCATATCCCCAAATCCCACCCATATCCCCCAAATCCCACCCACAACACCTAAACCCCACCCACATCCCCCAAATCCCACCCACAATGCCCAAACCCCACCCACACCATCTAAACACCACCCACACCACCTAAACCCCACCCATATCCTCAAATCTCACCCATATCCCCCAAATCCTACCCATATCCCCCAAATCCCACTCATGTCCCCAAATCCTACCCATATTCCCCAAATCCCACCCACATCCCCCAAATCCCACCCACATCCCCCAAATCCCACTCATGTCCCCAAATCCCACTCATGTCCCCAAATCCCACCTGTATCCCCCTAAACCCCAAACCCATCCCCCCCAAAATCCCACCTACAGCCCCCCCAAAAATCCCACCTACAACCCCCCCAAAATCCCACCTACAGCCCCCAAAAATCCCACCTACAGCCCCTAAGCCGCACCCACCCCCCAGTCCCACCCACCCTTCCCAATGCCCCGCCCACTCTCCCAGCCCCACCCACTCTCTCTAATGCTCCACCCACTCTCCAAAGCCCCACCCATCTCTCCCAGCCCCGCCCACTCTCTCCAATGCCCCACCCACTCTCTCCAATGCCCCGCCCACTCTCTCTAGCCCCACCCACTCTCTCCAATGCCCCACCCACTCTCTCCCAATGCCCCACCCACTCTCCCCAGCCCCGCCCACCCCCCCGGCCCCGCCCACCCCTGCGCTCCAGCTCCGCCCTCAGCAGCTCCTCCAGCCCTTCGTCCTCGGCCACCTCCAGCGGCAGCTCCAGGTCGCTCGTCACGGCCGCCGCGTCCGCCCCGTGCTCCAGGAGGTACCTGTGGGGCCGGGGGGGCTCAGGGAGGGGTCACACCCCCCCCACACACCACAATCACCGCCCCCCAGGACCCCCCGGCCCCCTCACTGGGCGATGTGGCGGCAGCCGCAGGCGGCGGCCACGTGCAGGGGGGTCCAGCCCTCGTTGTCGGCCTGGTTGACGTCGGCCCCGCTCTCCACCAGGAACTGCACCACCTCCATGTTCTCGTCGATGCAGGCCTGGGGGACGCGGCCTGTCAGAGACACCCCCCGGGGACCACCCCAGGGACCACCCTGGGGACACCCAGAACACCCAGAGACCACCCTGGGGACACCCAGAACATACAGGGACCCCCCTGGGGACACCCAGAACCCACAGGGACCCCCCTGGGGACACCCAGAACAGCCAGGGACACCCAGAGACCACCCTGGGGACACCCAGAACACACAGGGACCCCCCTGGGGACACCCAGAACAGCCAGGGACACCCAGAGACCACCCTGGGGACACCCAGAACACACAGGGACCCCCCTGGGGACACCCAGAACAGCCAGAGACCACCCTGGGGACACCCAGAACACACAGGGACCCCCCTGGGGACACCCAGAACAGCCAGGGACACCCAGAGACCACCCTGGGGACACCCAGAGACCCCCATGGGGACACCCAAAACACCCAGAGACCCCCTTGGGGACACCCAGAAAACACAGGGACCCTCCTGGGGACACCCAGAACACACAGGGACCCCTCCAGGGACCCCTCCAGGGACATCTGGGGACCACCAGGACGCCGCGGGAGATGCCCTGGGATCCCTCCAGTGACCCCACCGGGGACCACCCAGAGACCCCCCCCCCAAACACAAACCAGGGACCCCCAAAGCTCCGCCCACTGAACCTCAAGCCCCACCCCTTTCCCCCCAATTCTTCTGCAGACCACGCCCCCTCCATCTTCTGGTCACGCCCACTCGCTGCGAAAGCCCCTCCTCGTCAGCCCGGGCCCCGCCCACGGACTCACGTGACCGCGCCCTCTCCAGACCCCGCCCACCTCAGGCCCCGCCCACCTGGTGCAGCGCGCTGATGCCGTCGGCGTTGGCCCCGCCCAGCAGCGCGCGCCCCCCCGCGCGCACCATGGCGCGCGCCTCCGCCAGCTCCGCGCCTGCGCACACCGCTCGGAACTCGGCCGCGCGCTCGAAGCGGACCTGCGGGGGCCGCGGCGGCCCCGCCGGTACCGGAGGGTTCGCGGCCGCCGCCGCCGCCACCGCCTCCTCCCAGCGCCGCAGCTGCTCCCGGCGCCGCTCCTGGGCCGCCGCCGCCGCGGCCGCCGCCGCCGCCGAGGCCGCCATGGCCGCGCCGGGGCCGCCGCCGGGGGCGGGGCCGGAAGCGCGGAGGCGGGGTCGCCATGGCAACGGCGGGGACGCGGCGGGAAGAGAAGGAAGGAGGCGGGGCCCGGATGTGAAGCGTTTTTATTGGTGCGCGCGGCGGAGGTGACGTCACGGGAGAGGGCAGGGTCACTTCCAGCGCCCGCCCACGCGGCCCTTCCCGACCTTCTTGCTGCGGGAGGAGGGGCGGGGGTGGGACCCTGAAACACTCCCCCAAACAGCCCCCAAACAGCCTCCTGGGACCCTGAACAGCCCTGAACACCCCCAAACAGCCTCCCGGGACCCCCTGAACAGCCCCCGAACACCCCCAAACAACCTCCTGGGACCCCTGAAACATCGCCCAAAAATCTTCCCCAGGACCCCCAAAACACTCCCTGGGACCCCCTGAACAGCCCCCAAAAATCCCTCCCACAGGACCTCCCAAACACACCCCGGGACCCTCAAACGACCCTCGGACCCTTCGGGGTCCCCCATCGCCTTCTGGGACCACCCAAATGGCCCCTGCCCCGATCTCCAGATCACCCCCCAGAACCCCTTAATGTCCCCCCAAACCTCTTCAATCCCCTCCTGACCCCCAATAACCCCCCAGGACCCCCAAATTTCCCCCCAAATCCCTCCCTTACAATTTCTGGGCGTGGCTGATCCGGTTGTACAGGACGTTGATCTGGGTGGGACGGGGAGGGGGGGGCTAAGATGAGTCCGGGGGGGGGTCCCCTAAATCTGGGACCCCCAATTCTCCCCCCTCAGGGTCACCCTCATTCCGGGGGGACCCCCGAAACCCCCCTCCCCTCCATTCCCAACTGCCTCAAGGAGAGATCCCCATTCCTGGGGTGGGGGGGATGCAGGAGCCCCAAAATGGGACAAACCAGGGAACAACGGGGGGACCTTCAGGGCCCCGGGACCCCCAGAACGGCTCTCAGGTGTGCCCCGTCGCTCCGTGAGGGTTCTGGGGGGGGGCCTCCAGCCCTTTGGGGACCCCCAAAACGGGCCCTTGGGGACCCCCTTTCCCCCCCAACCCCCCCCCCACACCTCGTAGCGCTGCCGCCGCAGCTTCTCCATCAGGTCGAACTTCTCCGACTCCAGCTGGTGGATCCAGTCGTGCAGCTCCTTGGCCTTGGCCCTGGGTGGGGGTTGGGGGTCACTGGGTGGGCCTGGGGTCCTCGGTGGGGGAGGGACGCAGGGGGTCCCCACCTGAGCTCGTCCTCCCGCAGGTTCTCGATCTCCAGGGGCCGCTTGCGCTCCGCCAGGATCCGCAGCTTCATCTCCCGCCCCGTCTGGCGGCGCCCGCGGCGCTGCTCGGCCTGGGGGGCACGGGGGCACGGGGGCACCCGCTGCAGCCGCTTATGGGGGCTGTGGGGTGCCCTGGGCAGGTTATGGGGGTTATGGGGTGCCCTGGGCAGGTTATGGGGGGCTATGGGGTGCCCAGTGCAGGTTATGGGGGGCTACAGGGTGCCCTGGGCAGCTTATGGGGTTATGGGTGCCCTGGGCAGGTTATGGGGCTATGGGGTCCCCCTATGGGGGTGGGTCCCTGTGGGGATCCCTGTGAGGCTGGGGGCAGGGATTTATGGGGTTCCCTGTGGGGGATCCCTGTGAGGCTGCAGGGTGAGATTTATGGGGGTCCCCCTATGGGGGTGGATCCCTGTGGGGGATCCCTGTGAGGCTGCAGAGGGGGGTTTATGTGAGTGGGTCCCTGTGGGGGGATCCCTGTGAGGCTGCAGAGGGGATTTATGGGGTTCCCTGTGGAGCTGGGGGTCCCTGGGGTCTCTGTGGGCGGGGTCTCTGGGTCAGGCCCCCACCTTGGCCAGGTACCCCCCGAAATGGGGCATGGCCGACAGGACCTTCTTCTTCTTGGCGTCATCCTCGGCCCTTTTCTTGGCCTCCTCCTCCTCCTTGCGCAGCTTCTCCTCCTGGAGGGGAGAGGGGGGAGGAAATAGGGGGTCCTGGAGGGGATTTTGGGGTCCCAGGGTGGGCTCTGGGTGGGTTTGGGGCCCCTCCCTCACCGCCAGCCTCGCCTGCCTCTCCCGCTCCTTCTCCGTGCGGCTCCGGAGCTGCTCTGTTCCGCCTCGGCCGGCGGCGCCCTGGGGATGGGGGACAGGGGGCTCAGGGACACACAGAGACCCCCTGGGACCCTCGTGACCCCCCGTGACCCCCCAAGACCCACGATCCTCTCCATGAGCCCCTTCAGCTCCTCCTCCTCGCGGCGCCGCTGCTCGAAGTGGGCGTCGATGAGGGTCTGCAGCTCCAGCAGGTCCTTCTCCATCCGCCTCGATGGATGTCCTGGGGGCAGGGGGTCACAGACCCCCAGGGCCCACCCCACAATCCCCCAGCCCCATAGAAACACCCCCAGCCCCTCAGTAACTCCCCCCAGCCCCATAGAAACACCCCAGCCCTCAGTAACTCCTTCCCACGGCCCTTCTCCACCACGCTTCCTCTGGGGGACACACGCACAGTGACTCCCTGGACCTCAACTTCCCCCAGGCCTCCCATGCCCCCCCAGCCCCACAGCAGCCCCCAGCCCCTCCACTGATCCTCCAAGCTCCTCCGATGACTCCCTGACCCCCTTACTCACATCGAAGTCCACGCGCTCCCTCGGGATTTTGGGGGTGCCAGCTGGGACACCATGTGGCTGGACGGGGGCCGGGGGTCAGGGGTCTTTGGGGTGTGGGGGCAGAGTCTCTCCAAACCCTCTAAAACCCCTCCAACCCTCTCTCCTCACCGGCCAGGCCGTTCCTCCTCTGGGGAGGGGAAAGAGGGGTCAGGGGGCTTGGGGGTCCTGGGGTGTTGGGGGTCTCAGAGGGAGTCGTACCTGGCTCCTCCGGTGGTTTGGGGGCTCCGGAGGCTGTGGGGGAAGAAGGGGGAGGGGCTCAGGGTCTGGGGACTCCTACGACCCCCTCCACAGTTTGGGGATTTTGGGAGGGGCTCCTCCTCCCCCACCCCACTCACCTTCCTCCTCCTCTTCCTCCTCCACCACTTCCTCTGGAAGGGGGTTGAGGCAATATGGGGGCAGGGTCAGCCCCCTCTCCCCCCAAACTCCCGTTGGTAATTAACCGGGATGTTAATGACCAATGCAGTAATTACGGTGAATTCGGTAATTACGGTAATCAACACGCCGGGACCCTCTCTCCCCTTAAGCCTCCCCAGACTCCCCTCCGGTTAGTGCTAATTAACACTTCAGGTTAATTACCATTCCTAGGGATCCTTAGTAGGAGTTAATAAAGAATTAATTAACGGCTTGGGGCTTCATCAGGGTCCTGCGGGGTTAATTAAAAGGTCAGTTTGGGGCTGAGATTGGGGGCATTAATTAATCAGGAGGGCCAATTGGGGTTAATTAATTAGGGTCAATTAATTGGGGTCACGTAGTCACCACCTCCTGCTGCTCCCTGTGGGGGAAGGAGAAGGGTGAGGGGGCCCAGTGTGGGAACTGGGGGTTCTGGGGTCCGGGGATGGTTTGGAGGTTAGGGGTTGAGGGGGTCCTAGGAGGGTTTGGAGGTCTGGGGGAGTTTGAGGGTCTGAGGGAAGGGTGGGGGTCCTGGGGGGCGGGGGCTTAGGGGTCACTGAGGGGCTGAGGGTCACTCACTCAAACTCCTCCTCGGGCTCCGACATGGTGGCGGTTTGGGGGTCCTGGGGGTGGGAGTGGGGTCAGGGATGTCTGGGGGTGGGGTCCACATCGACCCCCAAGACCCCCGATAACCACTCAGCCCCCCATCGCCCTCGAGTCCCCCCAACACCCCAAGCCCCCCCACCGTTGGTTCGTCCCTGGGGTCCCTGCCGCGCTGCCCCCCAAGCCTGGGGTCCCTTTATCGGGGGCCGCCCCTCCTCCTCCGTGACGTCACCCCCCATTGTTCCCCGAAATGAAATGTCGCGACATCCGACACCAACAGCTGTCGGGGGTGGGGGCTGGGTCCCCCAGGACCATTTTGGGTGAAAACAAAGGCCCGAGGGGGGTCGGGGGTCTATTCCGAGCGCTGACGTCACACCTCGCCTCTCCCCTGCACCTGTCGGGCCCCTTTGTGGACCCCCAAGGGGGGAGGAAGGGTCACCCCCCAACACCCCCTGACACTGTTTTTGTTCCAAATTCCTTTATTCCGGTAGAAAACGAACCTTCGGGAACGCCCCAAAATCCTCCCCCCGCCCTCCTCCCCAAAATTCAGCACCACAGAACGACCCCCAAACACCCCCACCTCGAGACCCCCCAAAAATAAGGGTGGGGTGTCTCAGCTCCCCAAGTCCGGGGTCCGGCCCTTGGGGGAGGGGGTCTGAGCCCCAAAACTGGGGGTTTAATCCCCAGAGTTTGGGTCCAGCCCCCAAGGGGATCGCAGCCCCCAAGTTCGGGTCTGGCCCCTAAATGTGGAGGGGAGGGACTCAGCCCCCAGGGTGAGGGGTCCAGCCCCCAGGGGGTCTCAGCCCCCAAATCGGGTCCAGCCTCGGGGGTGGGGGCCAGCTCAGGGCCTCGGGGCAGCGTCAGGGCGAGCCCCCTGGGTCACTCACGAGCCGCAGGCGCGGGGCTCCCGGCCCCTCCCCGGGTTTGGGGATGGCCCCCAGGCAGACGTGGGCGAGAGGGACAGCTTGGGGTCGGGGTGTTGGTGTCGCAGGAGGGGCCGGGGGCCGTTTTGGGGCCGGGGTGTGGGGACCCCAGGCAGACTCCTGGGGACCCCGTGCGGGAGGAGGCAGCCCCTCCCGCAGGACACGCAGTCGTGGAGGGCCACGCGGGCTGGGGAGCGCCTGGGGGTCTCGGCGGCGGGGGCGCTGGGGCGGCGGGGGCGGCGGCGGGGGCTGTCTGGGGGTCCCGCCCGCCTCCTCGCCTCTCCGCTGCAGCCGCACGTCCGTCTCCCGCAGCTCGTATTTGGGGGTCCGCGGGGCCCTGAGAGCCTCCCGCTGCGGAAGGCGCCTTCGCCGCGTCTGGGGAAAATGGGGAGCGTGAGGGGAGACCTCAAAAGTCAGGGTTCCACTCTCACTTTTGGGTCCCCCTTCAGGTTCTAGAACCCCTCTTGCCCTCCTCGCAGGATTTTGGGACCCATCCCCTTGGGTTTGAGACCCTGGGTTTTGGGGTGTCCCTCTGGATTTCAGGCCCCCACTCCTGCCCAGGTGTGGGTGTCCCCCCCACCTCCAGCTTCCTGTCCCTCCATTCTGGTTCCCCCTCAGGTTTTTGGGATTCCCCCAGGTTTGGGATCCCCTCTCCCAGTTTTTGGGGTCCTCCCAAAGTTTTGGGGTTTCCCCCCCCCCACCTTGAGGTTTCTCGGGTGCTCCCTAAGTTTTAGAATCTCACCCCAGTGGTTTTTGGAGTCCCACCCCAGTGGTTTTTGGGGTCCCCCCAGGAGATTTTTGGGGGTGCCCTGAGGGTTTTGGGGGTATTTTGGGTACCTCTCGCAGGTGCGGCACTCGCAGCCCCGGTTGCCCTCCCCGAAGAAGCCGTCCCCGTAGAAGCAGGTGATCTCTGTGCGGGGCGGATGTCCCGCAGCGCCTGCACCCGAGCCCCCGCCCGGGCCCGACACGAACTGCGCCCCAAAAACAGGGACCCCAAAAATGTGAGAGGACCTCTTCTCACCTCACGTTTCCCACCCTCTTCCACTTCTCAACGCTTTGTGCCCTTTTTCCCCCCCCTCACATCTCCCACCATTTTTCCCTCACATTTCGCACTGTTTTCCCCTCACGTTTCCCGCCATTTTTCTCTTTCATTTCCCACCATTTTCCCCTCACGTTTCCCGCCATTTTTCTCTTTCATTTCCCGCCATTTTCCTCTCACGTTTCCCGCCATTTTCCCCTCGCGTTTCCTGCCCTTTCCACTCATGTTTCCGCCATTTCCCTCGCTTCCCGCTATTTTCCTCACGCTTCCTCGCCATTTTTCCTTCGTGTTTCCCGCCATTTTCCCTCACGCTTCCGCCATTTCCCTCACGCTTCCCACCATTTTCCCCTCACGCTTTCCCGCCATTTCCTCACGCTTCCCGCCATTTTCCTCACGCTTCCCGCCATTTCCCCTCACGTTTCCGCCATTTTCCTCACGCTTCCTGCCATTTTCCTCACGTTTCCGCCATTTCCCTCACGTTTCCCGCCATTTCCCCTCACGCTTCCCGCCATTTTCCCCTCACGCTTCCCGCCATTTTTCCCTCACGTTTCCCGCCATTTTCCCCTCACGTTTCCCGCCATTTCCCCTCACGTTTCCCGCCATTTTCCCCTCACGTTTCCCGCACTCTTTTCCCTTTGTGTTTCCCACCGTTTTCTCCTTTCTTTTCCCACCCTTTCTCTCCGTCCCCACATTCCCCCTCTGCTTTTCCCCGCTCTTTCCCTTCACGTTCCCCACCATTTTTCTCTCCCATTTCCTGCCAAAATCAGGGGGACCCCCCACCCCAAAACCTCCCTGACCTCACACAGGGACCTCCCCCAAATTCTCCTGTCCCTCCCTTCCCAGCCTCCCTGTGACACCCCCGCCCTCCCAAACCCATTGGGAGCCCCCAGCCCAACTCGACACCCCCAGAACTCACCCTGCAGTTCGGGCGACAATCTGGGTGGAAGGAAAACTTGTCAGTACCCACTCAGGGCCCCCAACACGTTTAGAGAGGTCCTGAGGACGCTCAGGGGGTTCCCAGGTGGGTTTTGGGGTGCTGGGGGCGGTTTTGGGGTCCCTGGGTGGGTTTGGAGCTCCAGGGCCAGCAGGGAGCTCTGGAAGCAGGGGGGGTTTTGGTGTTTTCCCTCTGGGTTTTTGGGGTCCCAGGGCAGGGGCAGGTTTTGGGGGGTTCCTGAGGCACGTTTTAGGGGTTCAGGGAGATTTTTGGGGTGCCCCACCGTGGTTGATGAAGGCGGCTGGCCCCAGCCAGAGCTGGGTCCTCCTGCGGCGCGTCGAGTACATGAGGCTGAAGTCGTTGTCGCCCGCCCGCAGCAGCGCCCGGTCGGAGCCCCGGAGCTCGACCCCGCAGCCCCCCAGGAACTCCAGCATCTCGTGCTTCTTCCTGGGGCAGACAAAGGGGGCCACGGGGGGGTTTCGAGGGGGAGACGATGGATTTGGGGGGAAATAAGGGTTCCCCAGGGGTGTGGAGACCCACCAGGCGCGGGTGGAGACCACCCTGGCCCCGTTGGTGTCGCGGCTGTAGCGGGTGCAGCGCTGGATGCTGAACCCACTCTCGGGCAGGAGCGCCCGCAGGTACTGGAACACCTGCAGGGGGCAAAAGAGGGGTCGGGACCTCCACAAATCCCCCCTGGGAGCCCCCCCGACAGCCCTTAAACCCCATTTCCACACCCCCCCAGAGACCTCTGTGTGCCCCATAGACCTCCCTATGCCTCCCATGGGGACACCCCTGGGCATCTCCCACCCTACAGCCCCCACAGGGACCCCTTATAGAACCTCCTGTGTATCCCACACCTCACTGCCCTCCCCCAAACCCCATTTTTCCCCTAAGGGCCCTCCAAACCTCTCGAGACCCCCAAACTCCCAGCAGCCCCTCCAAACCCCCCCCCGAGACCCCCTCAAGACCCCCCCTTACGTGGCTCTTGAGCGCTGCCCGTTGCACCGGGCGCCGCTGGTGGAAGAACGCGGGGGCCCAGGCCCCGCTCAGGGTCTTCCAAGCCTCCTCCAGGTCCCGCCGCCGCCGGAACGCCTCGATGGCCGCCCGGAGTTGGGGCCAGTGCCGCAGGGCGGGCAGGGGGCTGTGAGGGGAGACAGAGAGAGACCCCCGGGGCTGGGACACCCCCTCCGGGACAGGGATCCCGCAGGGACAGGGTGGGGAGAGACCCCCAGGTTGGGGCACGGACCCCCCGCACAGGGCACCTCCAGGATGTGGCACCCCCCAGGACCCCCAAGCACGGGGACCGCAGGCCCGGGATCCCCGCCAGGACCCCGGTTCTCTCCCCCAGAGGGTGCCGGTTCCCCCCCGGTGCCCCCACCTGACCCCCATCTTGTGCGTGCGGAACCCGAGCACCGAGTCCAGCACGAGGCTCGTGGCCAGGTCGTCGTTCTCGCAGAGCTCCCGTGCCGTCACCGCCGACGCCGCCGCCCGGGACCGCATCGGCCGCCGCCGCCGCCGCCGCTGCCGCCGCCGCGCCTACAGCACCGGGAGCCGCCGCGGGTCACCCAGGGGGCACCGCGCACCGGCCCCGCGGGCGGGGGGAGCCCCGGGAGCCCCGTCCCGCCCGTTACCGCAGCGCCGCGGGCGCGGGACCCGCCGGGGCCGCCGCCGGTACCGGCACCGGCCCGGCCCCGGCGCCGCCGCCCGCCCGCTCCCGCCGCCGGCTCCGCCATTCCCATTGGCCGCCCTCCCGCCTCGCCGCCTCGCCCATTGGCTGCGGGCGGTGCCACTCACGATTGGTCCCGCCCCCGCCGTGAGGCGCTCGGCGAGCTGATTGGTGGAGACGGCGGCGCGGCGCGCGCCTCGCGCCATTGGTCGGGGGGCGTTGCCGCGCGATCATTGGCCAGGGTTGACGCCGGTCACGCCGCTCGGCCGTCCCATTGGGTGAGGGCGAGCGAGTCCCGCCCGCGGCTCTCCATTGCTCCAAACTCCCCGCCCTCCCCGCCTCCCATTGGCCGCCCTCCGCCGCTTCCCCCGCTCCGCTCGCTCCCATTGGTCGAGCGCGCTGTCGCTCAGCGGCCGCCGGCTGACAATGGGCGCAGCGTGCGGTCCGCCATAAACAATGCACCGGGCAGGCCACGCCCCTTTTCCCGCCGGTTGGCTCCGCCCCCGCGGCAAGATGGCGGCGCCCAGGGGCGGCGCGCGGCGTTAGGAGGTGCGGGGTCCCGGGGTTTTGGGGTGGGGGGCACCCTGAGGGGCGCGGGGAGGGCTCCGGAGGCTCCCGGTGCGCTGACGGCCGCTGTGCAGGGCGATGGCGGCGGCGGCGGGCGGCGGGGCCGGGGGCTGGCAGGACCCCCACACGCTGCAGGGCTGCTGGAGATGGCGGTGGTGGCCGGCGAGGCCCAGCCCGAGCCCCGGGAGCCCATGGGCGAGGAGGTGAGAGGGGACGGGCGGCGGCGGGGCTGTGGGGGTTCCTGGGGAGGGGTCCCGGGGTGTTGGAGGGGTCGGGGGGTCCCAAAGAGGTTTCTGGGAATGTCGGGGAGTGCTGGGGTCCCGGGGATCGGTGAGGGGTTTTGGGGGTTCAGTGTGGATTCCTTGGGGTTTGGGGAGGGTCCCGAGGGGGATCAGTGAGGGGTTTTGGGGGGGTCAATGTGGATACCTTGGGGTTTGGGGAGGGTCCCGGGAGGATCATGGGGGTTTTGGGGGTTCAGTGTGGATTCCTTGGGGTGTGGGGAGGGCCCCGGGGGGGATCAGTGAGGGGTATTGAGGGGGGTCAGTGTGGATTCTTTGGGGTGTGGGGAGGGTCCCGGCGGGGATCAGTGAGAGGTTTTGGGGGGGGTCAGTGTGGATTCCTTGGGGTTTGGGGGAGGGTCCTGGGGGATCAGTGGGGGTTTTGGGGGGTCAGTGTGGATTCTTTGGGGTTTGGGGAGGGTCCCGGGGGATCGGTGAGGGGTTTTGGGGGTCAGTGTGGATTCCTTGGGGTTTGGGGAGGGTCCTGGGGGATCATGGGGGTTTTGGGGGGGGTCAGTGTGGATTCTTTGGGGTTTGGGGAGGGTCCCGGGGGATCGGTGAGGGGTTTTGGGGGAGTCAGTGTGATTCCTTGGGGTTTGGGAGGATCAGTGTGGATTCCTTGGGGTTTGGGAGGGTCCCGGGGGGATCAGTGAGGGGTTTTGGGGGGTCAGTGTGGATTCCTTGGGGTTTGGGGAGGGTCCCGGGGGATCATGGCGGGTTTTGGGGGGTCAGTGTGGATTCCTTGGGGTTTGGGAGGGTCCTCGGATGGATCAGTGAGGGGGTTTGGGGAGGGTCCTGGGGGATCGGTGAGGGGTTTTGGGGGGCCAGTGTGGATTCCTTGGGGTTTGGGAGGGTCCCGGGGGATCAATGAGGGGTTTTGGGGGGGTCAGTGTGGATTCCTTGGGGTTTGGGGAGGGTCCCGGGGGATCAATGAGGGGTTTTGGGGGTGTAAGTGTGGATTCCTTGGGGTTTGGGGAGGGTCCTGGGGGACTCAGTGAGGGGTTTTGGGGAGAGTTCAGTGTGGATTCCTTGGGGTTTGGGGAGGGTCCTGGGGGATCATGGGGGGTTTGGGGGGATCAATGTGGATTCCTTGGGGTTTGGGGAGGGTCCCGGGAGGATCATGAGGGGTTTTGGGGGTCCCAAGGGGGTGTCGGGAGGTTCTGGGGGTTCCTGCTCACCGTGCCCCCTCCGTCCCCCAGCGGCAGCAGTGGCTGAGAGCGGCCGTGTCCGAGGCTCTGGGGGGCTCTGGGGGCGCGGGGGAGCTCCGGCGCTGCCTGGGGTCCTGGCCGGGCCCTGCCCCGGGGAGGAGGCGGCCGAGCGGGGCCAGGGGACACGGGACCCCACGAGGAGGCTCTGGACGAGCTGGCAGAGCTGTGTGAGAACCTGGACAACGCCACAGGTGAGGGGAGGGGGTCCTGGGGGCCTCGGGGAGCTGAGATTTGGGGGGTTCGGGGGTGAGGGGAGGTTCCTGTGGGACCCCTGACCCCCCCTTTTGGTTTTTTTTGTGCTCTCCCCTCTCAGATTTCTGTGCCCTGGGGGGGCTGGAGGCAGTTTTGGGGCTCCTGGGGCACCTGTGGCCCCCACTGCGGGCAGGGGCCGCCCGAGTCCTGGGGGCTTGTGCCCAGAACCTGCCGGGGGCCCAGGCCCGGGCCCTGGCCCTGGGGGCCCTCCCCGCCCTCCTGGGGGGCCTCAGGGGGGACCCCGACCCCCGAGTGCCCCCCGCCGCCCTCTTCGCCATCTCCTGTGAGTGGGGGGGGATTTGGGGGAGGGGGGCAGCGAGGAGGGTTTTGGGGAGGGGGCTGAGAGGGTCAGGGGGTGGAGAAAGAGGTTAAGGGGTGGGATTTGGGGGGCAAACAGAGAGGTTTGGGGAGATGGGGGCTCAGGGGGGATTTTGGGGAGTTTTGGATGGCGAGGGGGATTTGGGGTTTGGGGGATTTTGGGGAGGTTTGGGGAGATGGGTGCTCAGGGGGATTTTTGGGGAGTTTGGGGTTTGGGGGATTTTTGAGGGCATTTTGGATGATGAGGGGATTTGGGGTTTGGGGGATTTTGGGGAGTTTGGGGTTCGGGGGATTTTTGAGGGCGTTTTGGATGACGAGGATTTGGGGTTTGGGGAGATTTTTGGGGAATTTGGGGTTCGGGGGATTTTTGAGGGTGTTTTGGATGATGAGGGGATTTGGGGTTCTGGGGGATTTTTGGGAGGTTTGGGAGATGGGGCTCAGGGGATTTTGGGGGTGGGGGTCTGGGGATTTTTGAGGGCGTTTTGGATGATGAGGGGCTTTGGGGTTTGGGGGATTTTGGGGGTGGGGGTTCAGGGGGATTTTTGGGGAGGTTTGGGAGATGAGGGCTCGGGGGATTTTTGGGGGTGGGGGTTCAGGGGGATTTTTGGGGAGTTTGGGGTTCAGGGGGATTTTGGGGGCGGGGTTCAGGGGGATTTTGAGGGCGTTTTGTATGACAAGGGGATTTGGGGTTTGGGGGGGATTTTGAGGGATTTGGGGGTGGGGGTTCAGAGGGGATTTTTGAGGGCATTTTGGATGACGAGGGGATTTGGGGTTCAGGGGGATTTTTGGGGAGTTTGGGGTTTGGGGGATTTTGAGGCATTTTGGATGACGAGGGGATTTGGGTTTAGGGGATTTTGGGGGTAGGAGTTTGGGGGTATTTTTGAGGGCGTTTTGGATGACGAGAGGGATTTGGGGTTTGGGGAGATTTTTGGGGATGGGGTTCGGGGGTATTTTTGGGGTGGGGGTTCGGGGATTTTGAGGGTGTTTTGGATGACGAGGGGATTTGGGGTTTGGGGGATTTTGAGGGGATTTGGGGGTTCAGGGGGATTTTGAGGGCGTTTGGATGACGATGGGGATTTGGGGTTTGGGGGATTTTTGGGGGGTGGGGGTTCAGGGGGAGGATTTTTGAGGGCGTTTTGGATGACAAGGGGGATTTGGGCTGGCCAAGGAAGGGCTCTGAGGGGGATCCAGGGGGGTTTTGGGGCTACAGGCTCTGACGTCCCCCCCCTTTTTGGCCCCCCCCAAGGCCTGGTGCGGGCGCAGCCGGAGGGGCTGGAGCAGTTGGAGGCCCTGGGGGGGCTGGAGGTTTTGGGGGGGGCCCTGCAGAGCCCTCACCCCCCGCTGAGGGCCCGGGCGGCCTTTCTGCTGCACTGTCTGCTGAGGGAGCACCCCAGGCTGCGAGGTGAGACCCCCAAAATCCACACCCCCCTCCCCCATGGGTGGGGCAGCAGGCTCAAACCCCCTAAAACCAACCCCCTCGTGTCTCCCCACCCCACAGCCCCCTGGTCCAGCAGGGCCTGGTGGCCCGACTGGTGACGCTGCTGCGCTCCGAGCACGACGGGGCCCACGAGCACGGGCTGGGGACCCTCTGTGGAGTACGTGAGACCTCCAAAACCCCCCCAGAACTGGGCTGGGCACCCCAAAAACCTGGGGAGAGGGGGGAAATGGGGAGCTCTCTCTGCAGGTTGGGTGAGAGCACCGTGGGGAGGGAGGGGGGCTGGGGAGCCTGAGGGGGAGTGGACAGAGGGGTCCTGGGGGTTTTGGGGAGTCTGGGGAAGGTTTGGATGGTCTGGGGTGGTTTGGGGTCCTGGGGGTTTGGGGACCCTGGGGAAGGTTTGGGGGTCTCGGGGAGGTTTGAAGGGTCTGGGGTGGTTTGGGGGTACTGGGGGAGTTTGGGGGCTCTGGGGAAGGTTTGGGGAGTCTGGGGAAGGTTTGGATGGTCTGGGGTGGTTTGTGGGTCCTGGGGGGTTGGGGGCTCTGGGGAAGGTTTGGATGGTCTGGGGTGGTTTGGGGGTCCTGGGGGGTTTGGGGGCTCTGGGGAAGGTTTGGGGGTCTCGGGGAGGTTTGAAGGGTCTGGGGTGGTTTGGGGGTCTGGGGTAGTTTGGGAGCTTTCAGGGAGGTTTGGAGGGTGTGGGTTGGTTTGGAGGGTCTGGGGGTGGTTTGGGGGCTCTGGGGAAGGTTTGGGGGGTCTGGGGAAGGTTTGAGGTGGTTTGGGGGCTCTGGGGAAGGTCTGGGGAGTCTGGGGATGGTTTGGATGGTCTGGGGTGGTTTGGGGGTCTGGGGTAGTTTGGGGGCTTTCAGGGAGGTTTGGAGGGTGTGGGGTGGTTTGGAGGGTCTGGGGTGGTTTGGGGGTCTGGAGTGGTTTGGGGGTCTGGGGTGTTTTGGGGGTCCAGAGGAGGTTTCTGGGGTCCAGAGGAGGTTTGGGGGTGCCGCTTTCCCTCCCCAGCCCTGTTGCCCCTTTCCCCCAGCCTGGCCACGGATTTCCCGAGGGGTTCGGGAATGCCGAGCCCCGCCCTGGGGCTGGAGGAGCTGCTGCGGGAGCGCCGGGAGCTGCTGCAGGGCCGGGACGAGTTCCAGGTGCTTTGGGGTGGGGGGTCCCTGGGTGGGGGTCTTGGGGATTTGGGGGACCCCTGGGTGATGCAACCCCCCTCGGATTTGCTGCAGGAGGAGCTGGAGTTCTGTGAGCGGCTGCTGCAGCTCTGCTTCGAGACCCCCGAGGAGACCACCATGGATCGGTGACCCCCACCCCTCCCCTCCCTCCCCAGGACCCCAAAACACCCCCCCCACGGGGGGTCGCTGGCACCCCCAGAACCTCCCGCCGCCACGCCTTGTGCCCCTCTCCCCGAAGCTGGAGGGGGAATAAACGCTCCAGACCTGACCGTTTGGTGTGGAAAGGGGTGGGGGCAGCGGCGGTGACGTCAGCGGGGCTGGGGGACCCCCCCCAAATTCGGGGACACCCCTCAATTCCAGCCCCCCTCCGCTCAGCACCGGGAGGGCGGACAGCACGAGGGGCGGGGTTATGTTAATGAGGGGGTGTGGCTTTATGGAGACGGCTAACTGGGAATCGCTGTATGTAAATTAGGGGCGTGGCCTGCCGCGCGCCGGTTGTCACGGTAACCGCGTCCCGCGGTGGGCGGGCTTTCCCCGCCGTCCTCTCTCCCCATTGGTCGCCGCCCGGGCCACCGGCGCCGCTCCCGCTCCCCATTGGTCCCGGTGCGAGGAGGGGGGCGTGGCCTCGCCCCGCCATGGCGGCCGCGCTGGAGGAGGCCGCGGGCACCGTGTGCTGGTGGGGGCTGTCCCCGGCCATGGATCTCCGCCAGCACCGTGAGCGCCGACCCCGCACCCCCACACCGGGGCCCCCTCCGGTGCCCGGCACCTCCGTAACCGCCCCCCGCTCCCCGCAGTGCCGCCGGAGTCGGACCCCAGGACCCCTCGGCGGAGGCGCCGGTGCTGCTGGTGGGGGCGGCCGAGGGGCGGCACGTGCTGCTGACGGCGGCCCGGGCCCGGCGGGACCCCCCCCGCGCCATCACCGTACGGCACCGGGACCGGCACCGGGGTGGGGAGAACGGGGTGGCTCCGGTGGGAGGACGGGGCGGGGGACACACCAGGATCCCGGTTCCGGGCTCGATATCGCGGTCCCGGCGGGTCCCCGGTGCTCGAGGGGTGGGGGGAGCCCCGGGGGGAGTTACCGAGGGCTTCCCGGTGTTACCGGCGGTTTCCCAGTGCCCCCCCCCAGCTGTTCGTGGCCGAGCAGCGCCCCGAGCCCGTGGCGCGGCAGCTCCTCTTCCTCCTGCTGGCGCTGGAAGCCCCGGAGCGCCCCAGACCGGCAGGTAACGGGGGACTCCCGGTGACCCCCCCGGGACCCCAATCCCGTCCCACCCCCGGTAATCCCCCCCGTTCCGCCCCCGTTCCTCCAGCCCGCGCCGCCGCCATCCTGGAGCTCTTGGGCTCCGGGAGGCTCCGCGCCGGCACCGCCGCGATGCTCCGCGGGGCCGCCGGGCGCCTCCGCCGCTGGGTCACCGGGGACCGGCACTGGCAGCGAGAGGGACCCGCCGACCTGGGGCTCATGAAGGTCAGAACCGGGGCTGTCCGCTACCGGGGGTCCTGGGGTCTTTGGGGCTGTACCGGAGCTGCCCCGGGGGAAGGGGGAGCGCTGAGGGCGGGGGTCCCGGTGGTCCCGGTGCTGCCGGTGGCGGTGGTGCCGGTGCCGTACCGGGATCCTCCCCCCGCGCAGTGCCGGGACCGGGACGCGCTCGAGGCGGTTCTGCGGCGCTGGGAGCGAGCGGGGCCGGTCCCGGCGTGCCGGGGGTCGCGGGCGGTACCGGAGCCGGTGCCGGGACCCCCAGGCTGGGACCGGCGGCTGCGGCGGCGACTCGGACCCCGCTACGACGCGAGGGCAGCGGTGGCGGATTGGGAGCTGCGGATGGGGCTGCACCCCCGGGGGGTAACGGCGGGCACCAGGGGGTACCGGGGGTACGGGGGCTGCATCCCGGGGGTAACGGGGATACGGGTACCGGGGGCTGCATCCCGGGAAGGGGATACCGAGGGGTACCGGGGCTGCATCCAGGCACAGGGTACGATAACGGGGGTACTGAGTGCATCCGCGGGAGTACTGGGGCTGCATCCCGGGGGTACCGGGGGATAACAGGGGGTACCGGGGAGCTGCATCCCGAGGGTAACGGGGGTACCGGGAGATAACGGCAGGTACCGGGGCTGCATCCCGAGGGTAGGGTACCGGAGATAACGGGGGTACCGGTCTGCATCCCAGGGGTAGCAGAGTACCGGAGATAACGGCGGGTACCGGGGCTGCACCCCAGGGGCACTGGGGAAGGACCGGGCGGGAGGGGATGTCCCGGTGGATAACGGAGGGCGGTACGAGGGGACGGCCGGGAGATCCAGGTGGGGAGGTGGGAGATGCGTGCAGGGGTCCGGGTCCCGGGAGGTTTGACTCCCCGCTGTCCGCCCGTTCCGTCCCCCAAGGCCACCACGGTGTCACCGGCAGAGTTCGGGCTCTGGCGCGAGAGCGGCGACGCCTTCGGCGGGGGCGAGACCCCAACCCCACCCTGCAGAGCGACCCCGGCCCCGCGCCGTGAGTGTTGGGGGCAGGGGGGCTGGGGAGGGTCAGAGGTCACTGACCACCCCCCACACCATCCCCGACCCCCCAGGACGGGCAGGTGGGGCCGGACCCCAGGTATTGGGGGGACATCGTGACCGGCCCCTTCCTCAGCTCGGGCTCGACCCCGGCGACCTGCGGAGCCCCGGGAAGGTGAGGGGGGCGTGGGGGGTGTGAGGGTGTCCTGGGTGGTCTCTCACGGGATTCTCCCCCACACCCCTTCCCCAGACGGCCACCGAGATCTCCGTGGCCAACGTCACGGCGCTGCTGCACGAGCTGCTCACCGGGACCCCCGGCGACCCCACCCCGAGGAGCCCCGAGGACCCCAGGACCCCCGAGGGCCCCTCATCGACAGGACCCCCTGCGACGAATCAGAGCCCGCTGGGTGAGTGCCCCCCTCCCCTCCGACCTCCAAGATCTCCCCGACCCCCGGGTTTTCTGAGCCCCCTCGACCCCTGACGCCCTCCCAAATCCCCCGCAGGAGTCCCTGGCGCCGCTCCCGCTCCGGGTCCGGTTCCTGCCCTTGGGAAGCGCCCGAAGCCCCCGGCCCGAGCCCGGCTGGGGGCTCTGCCGGCTGCTGGTGCTGGGATGGAGGTGAGGGGGGTCCCGAGGGGTGGTCCCTGGGGGATTTAAATGTTGATTTAAATGGGTCTGGGGGACACCCTGGGAGTGGTCCCGAGAGGAGGTGGGAGGGTATAAATGGGTCTGGGGCCTCTGGGGAGGGATCTCGTGGGAATCCTGGGGGAAGAGGAGGGATATGAAGGGATCCTGGTGGGGGTCGGGCGGGGGTCCCGAGGGTCCTCCCAAAGGAAGTGGGGTGATATAAATGGGTCTGGGGGGCTCTGAGAGGTGGTCCCAGATGCCAGGGACCCTCAGCCGCCCCTCTCACCTTCTCCCCACCCCCAGGTCGTTGCCCGAGCTGACCCCGAGCTGGCCCAACTGGCGGCCCCAGGGCCACTCTGCTGGTGGAGCTGCCCACGTGGGTACCGGGACCCCGGGGACCCCACCCTGCCCCGGGACGCCCCGTGGCCCCCGACCCCCCTCCCACCAGGGCTGTGACCTCTGTCCCTTCCCTTCCCCCAGGTTCGTGCCCACCCTGCGGCCCCCAGCTCGAGGCGTTCCGGGAGCGGGTGGTCGCGCTGGCCCGGGCGGGGGCTTGAGCCCTGGGGGCCCGGGAGCCCCTGGCCCACGCCCGCTTCGGAGACCCCTGAGACACCCCATCCCGCCCCCCCCCCCAAATCCCTCACCCCAGCCCTGAGACACCCCCTCCCCAAATCACACCGCCCCCTCCGATCCCCCGATTCGACACTAGACCCCCAAAATCCCCCTCCCAGGACCCCAAACCCGCCCCTCCGGCCACGCCCCTCCGGCCACGCCCCCCTCCCCATTCATAAACTCCGGCGCGACCCCCGGCTCCGGCCCCGCAGGTACCGGGGGTTTTGAGGGTCCTGGGGGTGCTGGGTCTGGGTCGGGGTCTGGGGGTCGTCACTGAGCGGACGCCGGAGGGGACTTGGGGTCAGAGGGCACAAGAGGATCCCTGGTACGGGGTGGTGGGAGAACAAAGTGGGGGTCCCAATGGGGGTCCCGGGAGAGGTCCCAATGGGGGTCTCAGGGGAGGTCCCAATGGGGTCTCGGGGAGGTCCCAATGGGGGTCCCGGGGAGGTCCCATGGGGATCCCGGGTCCTGAGTCCCTTGGGGGTCCAAGGGGAGGGGAGGTCTGCGGGGCAGCAGAGAGGGGGTCCCGACCAGCTGAGCCCCGGAGGGGTTTGAGGGGTGGGATGAGGGTCTTTGGGATGGGGGGAAGGGGTTGGGGGTCTCTGGGTGTCCTGGGTGCCCTTGGCGTGGGGGGAGGGGGTGGGGGTGTCAGGGCTGCCCGGACGGTCCCGTGGGGGTGGGGGTTGATAAGGGCTATTTTTAGCACCCCTTATCAGCCCCGGAGCCGCCGGCCCCAAATAGGGGCAGCGCTGGGGTTTTGGGGAGGGGCGGGGGACTGGGGGTTGATCTTCTCCCCAGACCCCTCCTCGTGCTCCCCCGCCCCACTCGTGTCTTCCAGCACCGGGAACGGCAGCACCGGGATGGCCGAGGAGTGAGTGGGGGCTCGGGGTGGGTGGGGGGATCTATAAGGGGCGTTTTGGGGGTCCCCGGCTGTTGGGATCCCCGAGAGGGGCTGGCGACCCGGGAGGTTCTGGGGGTGTCCTGCTGGGGATTCAGGGGGCTCTGACTCTGTTTTTAACCCCACCCACAGGGAGGACGTGTCGGTAGAGTCACCCCCACCCCTCCCCACCCATTTTGGGTGACCCCTGACCCCTCTGACCCCCCAAACCCCCTCGCCGTGGCGCAGAGACCCCGGAGGAAGAGGAAGAGGAAGGGAGGGGGTCCTACGCCCCCCGCAGCCGCCCCTGCGCCGCAAATCCTCGGCCAATTACCGGGCCTACGCCGTGGAGCCCCACGCCAAGGTGGGCTCGGGGGTGGGGGCTGGGGGACACTGGGGAGCTCAGACCCCCAACCTCACTGACCCCCAATTCCCCCCTCAGAGGAAATCCAAAATCTCGGCGTCCGTGAAGCTGCAGCTGAAGGTGAGGGGGAGAGGGTGGTCCCTCTATTTTGGGGGTGTCCCTGAGTGTTGGGGATCCCCCTCATTTTGAGCCTCCTCCTCCAGACGCTGCTGCTGCAGAGGGCGAAGCGGGAGCTGGAGCGGGAGGAGCAGGAGCGGGCGGCCGAGAGCTGCGGGTGCTGGGGAGCTCTGCCCCCCTCGCCCTCGAGGGGCTGGGGGCGGCGGAACTGCAGGTCTGGGGGTCACCGGGGGCTGGGGGAAAAGGGGGGCTGGGGGTCACCGAGGGGCTGGGGGAAAGCAGGGGGCTGGGGGTCCCTGAGGGGCTGGGGCGGCGGAACTGCAGGTCTGGGGGGTCCCGGGGGCTGGGGGAAAAGGGGGCTGGGGGGAAAAGGGGGCTGGGGGGAAAACAGGGGGCTGGGGGTCCCCGAGGGGCTGAGGGCGGCGGAACTGCAGGTCTGGGGGTCCCCAGGGGCTGGGGGAAAACAGGGGGCTGGGGGTCACCGGGGGTCTGGGGGGCAAAAAGGGGGCTGGGGGTCACCGAGGGGCTGGGGGCGCTGGGTGGGGGGAAAAGGGGTTGGACGGTTCTCAGGAGTGAGATGTGAGGAATTTAGGGGGGCTTTGGGGAGGGGGACACAGAGTAAGGGGGGTCAGGGTAGGGTTAGAGGGAACATGGGGGCATCTCTGGGGAGGGGTCTGTTGGGCCAGGGGGCTCTGGGGGGACAAGGTGGGTTTGGGGGATCCCAGGGGATCTCTGGAGGGGGACAAGGTGGGTTTGGGGGGGACAAGGTGGGTTTGGGGGATCCCAGGGATCTCTGGGGGGGACAAGGTGGGTTTGGGGGGGATCCCAGGGGATCTCTGGGGGTGGATGAGGTGGGTTTGGGGGGTCCCAGGGATCTCTGGGAAGGACAAGGTGGGTTTAGGGGAGTCCCAGGGGATCTCTGGGAAGGACAAGGTGGGTTTGGAGGGGATCCCAGGGGATCTCTGGGGGGACAAGGTGGGTTTGGGGGATCCTAGGGATCTCTGGAGGGGACAAGGTGGGTTTGGGGATCCCAGGGGATCTCTGGGGGACAAGGTGGGTTTGGGGGATCTCTGGGGGGGACAAGGTGGGTTTGGGGGATCTCTGGGGGACAGAGGTGGGTTTGGGGGGTCCCAGCCATACCCCCCACCCCCAGGAGCTGTGCCGGGAGCTCCACGCCCGCGTGGGGCGCGTGGACGAGGAGCGCTATGACATGGGCACCCGCGTCAGCAAGAACATCACCGAGGTGGGGGCGGCCCCTCTGCCCCCTCCCCACCCCGGGGGACCCCCCTTGGGGACAAAAAAACCCCCCACCTTCCCCCGGCCCTCTGCCCCTCCCCACACCGGGGACACCCTGGGGACAAAACACCCCCTTCCTTCCCCCGGGACCTCTGCCCCTCCCCATCCCGGGGACCCCTGGGGACAAAACCCCCTCCCCATCCCGGGGACCCCCTGGGGACAAACCCCCCACCTTCCCCCGGGACCTCTGCCCCTCCCCACACCGGGGACCCCTATGAGGACAAACCCCCCACCTTCCCCCGGACCTCTGCCCCCTCCCTCACCCGGGGACCCCCTGGGGACAAAAAACCCTCCCCCCTTCCCAGCACCGCCTGCGTCACCGGCCCCGTGCCCCCACCCCTTGTCCCCAAAGTGACCCCAGAGTGTCCTCGAGATGTCCCCTCGAGAGGACAGAGCTGTGGTGTCACCATGGGGGTCTCACGGTGTCCCCATGTCCCCCGGTGTCTCTGAGCCCCCAGATGGCCATGGGAGTCTGGGGGTGTGGAGGTCTCGGGGTCCCATGCCCCGTGTCCCCCAGATGGAGGAGCTGAAGCGCTGGGTGTGGGGGGCATTGGGAGGTCTCGGGGGTCTCAGGGGTGTGAGGGGAGTCTCAGGGGGGTCTCCACATGCCGGTCCCCAGATGGAGGAGCTGAGCGCTGGGTGGGTGGGGGCATTGGGGGTCTCAGGGGTCTTATGGGGTCCCACACCCATTCCCCAGATGGAGGAGCTGAAGTGCCGGGTGGGTGGGGGTCTCAGGGGGTCTCAGGGGGACTCAGGGGGTCTCGGGGGTCTCAGGGGGTCTCATGGGGGGTCTCACACCCCACACCCCCAGATGGAGGAGCTGAAGCGCCGCGTGGCCATGGGGGTGTCAGGGGTCTCAGGGGTGTGTGGGGGTGTTGGGGGTCTCAGGGGTCTCGTGGGGCTCCACACCCCATCCCCCCAGATGGAGGAGCTGAAGCGCTGGGTGGGTGGGGATGTCAGGGGTGTGTATGGGGGTCTCGGGGGTCTCAGGGGGTCTCAGGGGATGTGTGGGGTTGTCAGGGGTGTTGGGGGTCTCTGGGGTGTGTGGGGGTGCTGGGGGTCCCCATACCCTCTATCCCCCCAGATGGAGGAGCTGAAGCGCCGCGTGGCCGTGGGGTGTCAGGGGTGTATGGAGGGTCTCAGGGGATCTCAGGGGTGTGTGGGGCTCTCAGGGGTCTCATGGGGGTCCCCACACCCCGGTCCCCCCAGATGGAGGAGTTGAAGCGCCGCGTGGCCGCGGGGGTGTCAGGGGGTCTCAGGGGGTGTTGGGGCTCTCAGGGGTCTCATGGGGGTCTCCCACACTCCACACCCCCCAGATGGAGGAGCTGAAGCGCTGGGTGGGTGGGGATGTCAGGGGTGTGTGGGGCTCTCAGGGGTGTCGGGGGTCTCATGTGGGTCCCTCACCCCACACCCCCAGATGGAGGAGCTGAGGCGCCGCGTGGGTGGGGATGTCAGGGGGTCTCAGGGGTGTGTGGGGGTCTGGGGGTGTGTGGGGCCTCAGGGGTCTCATGGGGTCCTCACCCCACACCCCCCCAGATGGAGGAGCTGAGGCGCCGCGTGGCCGCGGGCCGGTTCGTGCGGCCCAACCTGCGGCGGGTGCGGCTCTCGGCGGACGCGATGATGACGGCCCTGCTGGGCTCCAAGCACCGCGTGGGCACCGACCTGAGGGCCGGGCTGCGCCAGGTGCGCAAGGACGAGGCCGAGAAGGTGGGTCCTGCCTCTGGGGCACCTGGGGGCTCCTGGGGTGTGGGGGACACACAGGGTGCGCAAGGACGAGGCCGAGAAGGTGGGTCCTGCCCCGGGGGCACCTGGGGGCTCCTGGGGGCACCTGGGGCACCTGGGGTGTGGGGTGTGGGGACACACAGGGGTGCGCAAGGATGAGGCCGAGAAGGTGGGTCCTGCCCCGGGGGGCACCTGGGGGTGTGGGGTGTGGGGACACACAGGGGTGCGCAAGGACGAGGCCGAGAAGGTGGGTCCTGCCCCTGGGGGCACCTGGGGGCTCCTGGGGGGCACCTGGGGGTGTGGGGGACACACAGGGGGTCACAACTGGGGTCACACCTTGGGGACACACCTTGGGGGATCATTGGGGTCACACCTTGGGGTCACACCTTGGGAGGCACTGGAATCATACCTTGGGGTCACACCTTGGGGATCATTGGGGTCACACCTTGGGGACACACCTGGGGGATCATTGGGGTCACAGCTGGGGTCACAGCTGGGGGGGCATTGGGGTAACACCTTGGGGACACACCTTGAGGGGCATTGGAGTCATACCTTGGGGTCACACCTGGGGTCACACCTTGGGGGTCACACCTGGGGTATCACTGGAGTCACACCTTGGGGTTACACCAGGGGGATCATTGGGGTCACACCTTGGGGTCACACTTGGGGTCACACCTTGGGGACACACCTTGGGGGGCATTGGGGTCACACTTGGGGTCACACCTTGGGGACACACCTTGGGGGGCATTGGGGTCACACCTGGGGTCACACCTTGGAGATCATTTGGGTCACACCTGGGGGTCATACCTTGGGTCACACCTTGGGGACACACCTTAGAGGGTACTGGGGTCATACCTTGGGGACACACCTGGGGTCACACCTGGGGGATCACTGGGGACACACCTTGGGGATCATTGGGGTCACACCTTGGGGTCACACCTGGGGGATCATTGGGGTCACACCTTGGGGTCACACCTGGGGGATCATTGGGGTCACAGCTGGGGTCACACCTTGGGGTCACACCTGGGGGATCATTGGGGTCACAGCTGGGGTCACACCTTGGGGTCACACCTTGGGGGATCACTGGGGTCACACCTTGGGGACACATCTGGGGTCACACCTCGGGTCACACCTTGGGGGGCACTGGAGTCACACCTTGGGGACACAACTTGGGGGGCATTGGAGTCACATCTTGGGGTCATACCTTGGGTCACACCTTGAGGGGCACTGGGGTCACACCTTGGGGGGCACTGGAGTCATACCCTGGGGTCACACCTTGGGGTCACACCTTGGGGTCACACCTGGGGGGGCATTGGGGTCACACCTTGGGGACACACCTGGGGGATCATTGGGGACACACCTGGGGTCACACCTTGGGGACATGGGCGTGTCCCCCGCGGTGTCCCCACCCCCATGGGCGTGTCCCCGCGGTGTCCCCGCCCCCGTGGGCGTGTCCTGACGCGGGGAGGGGGGCGTGGGGCGGGGCAGGAGAACCGCGAGGTCGGGGACTGGCGCAAGAACGTGGACGCCCTGAGCGGCATGGAGGGCCGCAAGAAGAAGTTCGAGGGGGCGGCGGCCTGAGGGGTGAGACCCCCACCCCCAAAACCCCCTCTGCCCCCCAGAGCTGGGGAGGGGGACACAACCCCCAAACCCGGGGAATCCTCCTCTCCACCCGGGGGATCGCCTCCAATCCCCCCCCAAAAACATCTCCTGCAGGTGGATCCGTCCCTGGAGCCCCCTGGGCATCTTCATCTTCATCATCTTCATCATCATCATCATCTTCATCACCTCCATCACCTCCATCAGCTCCACCACCACCATCGGCACCCCCACTCCCCAAATAAAGACACCCCCCCATCCCCAATAAACCCCTTCAGCATCAATCGATGGAGTTATCGGATCCTGATCGAGTTATCAGATCCTGATCGAGTTATTGGATCCTGATCGAGCTATGGGTCCTGATCGAGTTATTGGGTCCTGATCGAGTTATTGGGTCCTGATCGAGTTGGGTGGAGGGACCCAAAACTCACCCCGGGACCCCAACACACCCTCCCTTCACTGACCCAGAGCTCTGGGCTCATTGCAAGTCGTTTATTAACGACCCCCATTGACCTCACTTGACCTTTGACCTTTGGTATGTTTGGGGGTCCCTGGTTTTGGGGAGGGGTCCCACATAAGGCTTTGAAAGCGCTTTTGGGGTGGGGGGCTCGGGGGCCCCAAAGGCACTGTGGGGGTGGGGGAGGGCACTGGGAGCCCCCAAATTGGGGAGGGCAGCTCAGAGTATTGCACAGGGGGAGGGGGTCTGAGTTGGGGAGACCGAGGGGTCTGGAGTGCTTGGGGGCACTGGGACCCCGGGGTGTGGAGTGTTTTGGGGGAGGGGAATCTGCCCCTCAGGAGTATTTGGTGTTGGGGAGGGGGCTCAGGAAGAGGGTTTGCCCCCTCCCCCTCCTTTGGTGTGTTTGGGGGTTCTCCTCCTCCACAGGGGGTCTGTGGGGAGAGGCAGAGCCCCCTGGAGTGTCTGGTGCTGCTGGGGGTGGGGGCTCGACCCCGTTCTTGGGGAGGGGGAGGTCACACGGGCTGAGCCCACGGGCTGGAGATGCGGCCGCATTGTGGGGAGGAGGAGGGGTCACAGTGGGGTGGTGACACCCTGACCCCCTCCCTTAACTCCCCGAGTGTCCCCCCCACCCCCAATGTCTGTGGACCCCCAATTTCCCACTCCCCATTTCCCTGTGCCCTCCTCCAACCCCGGCATCCCCCAAATCCCAGGACCCCCTAAAACCCCAAATTCCCCAACCCATAAACCCCAACCCCCCCAAAATCCCACCTGGATGTCACTGAGGACCTTCAGGAAGCGCTGGGTCAGCTCGGCCCTGTTCTCCATGGTGGGCACCTTGTGCCACTTGGGGGGTGGGGGACAGGAGGGGTCACAGGGCAGGAAAGACCCCCTCAAAATCCCACCCGCCCACAGACCACCCAGACACCCCCCACAACCCCCAGACCCCAAAACCACTCTGACACCCCCACCCTGTCCACACCCCCAAACCACCCAGACACCCCCACTTTCCCCAGACCCCAAAACCACCCAGACACCCCACACACTCCCCCAGACCCCAAACCACCCAGACACCTCCCAGACCCCCAAACCACCCAGACACCCCCCACAACCCCCAGACCCCCAAACCACCCAGACACCCCTCTACCTCCCCCCAGACCCCAAAACCACCCAGACACCCTCCCAGACCCCAAAACCACCCAGACACCCCCCACAACCCCCAGACCCCAAAACCACCCAGACACCTCCCAGACCCCAAACCACCCAGACACCCCCACCTCCCCCCAGACCCCCAAACCACCCAGACACCCCCAGACCCCCAAACCACCCAGACACCCCCAGCCCTCTCCAGACCCCAAACCACCCAGACATCCCCCACTTCCCCCAGACCCCCAAACCACCCAGACACCCCCCAGACCCCCAAACCACCCAGACACCCCCCCAGACCCCAAAACCACCCAGACACCCCCCCACCCTCCAGACCCCCAAACCACCCAGACATCCCCAGACCCCCAAACCACCCAGACACCCCCCACCTCTCCAGACCCCAAAACCACCCAGACACCCCCCAGACCCCAAAACCACCCAGACACCCCCCACCCTCTCCAGACCCCAAAACCACCCAGACACCCCCCAGACCCCAAAACCACCCAGACACCCCCACTTTTCCCCAGACCCCAAACCACCCAGACACCCCCCCGTCCCTCTCCAGACCCCAAAACCACCCAGACACCCCCCCACTTTTCCCCCCAGACCCCAAAACTTGCTGCTCGTACTCAGAACCCCCACACCTGCTGGGGGTCCCCAGCCCCTGTGCCCCCCCAGCCCCCTGCCCCCTGTGCCCCCAGCCCCCTGTGCCCCCCAGCCCCCAGCCTCCGCACTCGTCCTGGTAGAGGATCCTCTCCACGGGACACACCACGCAGGCCGTGCCGGTCCCGAACATTTCCCGCAGCCGCCCCTCCCGCAGCGCCCCCAGCACGTCCTCCATGGGCAGGTGCCCCTCCCGCACCCCAAATTCACCCTGGGGGGGTGGGAAAAAGGAGGGGGGTCAGGAGTGTCCTCCCACTCCTGCCCGTGGCCCTTCCTCCTCCATCCATGGGTGTGTTCCCCCATCCCTCCTGTCCCTGTGTGTGTCCCCACCCCAAAAAACATCCCCTTTTCCCCACCCCACCCCACCCAGACTCACCCCCCAAACACCCCAAAAACCCACCCAGGGCTTCACAGACTCACCCCCAAACACCCCAAAACTCCACCCAGGACTCCACAGACCAAACCTCCCCAGACACCCCAAACCCACCCAGGACTTCACAGAGACTCCCTCAAACATCCCAAAAACCCACCCAGGACTCCACAGACCACCCCCCAAACACCCCAAAACCCACCCAGGACTCCACAGACTCCCCCAAACACCTCCAAACCCACCCAGGGCTTCCAGACCACCCTCCCCAAACACCCCAAACCCACCCAGGGCCTCCAGATTTCCCACCCCAAACATCCCAAAGCCCACCCAGGACTCCACAGACTCCCCCAAACACCCCACAAAACCCACCCAGGACCCCACAGACCACACACCCCCCCAAACACCTCCCAGGAGCCCCCAACCCCACCTGACACCCCCTCCCCAAAACCCCCATTAACCCCTCCATGGCCACCCCCAGGACCCCTAAACCCTCAGGACCCCCCACTAACCCCTCCCCAGGACCCTAAACCCTCACAACCCCCATAACCCTCCCCAGGACCCCTAAACCCTCACGACCCCCACAACCCCCCTCCCCAGGACCCCTAAACCCTCTGACCCCCCACAACCCCCTCCCCAGGACCCCTAAACCCTCAGAACCCCCCAGAACCCCTCCCCAGGACCTCCTCAGCCCCTCTTGCCCTCCCAGGACTCCCTAAACCCTCAGACCCCCTCATAACCCCCTCCAAGCCTCCTGCCCGGTGCCCCCCGTACCCATTCCCCGTGCCAGCTCCAGGACGCTCTGCCGGGTCACCCCGGGCAGGATCAGCCCGTCCAGGGGGCGTCACCAGCTCCATCCCTGCTGGGGGTTGGGGGAGGCTGTGTCACCCCTGACACCCCCCCAAACCCCCTCCAACCCCACTGGGACCCCTGGTCGCCCCCACCCCCATCCTGGCATCCTGGGGGTCCAGAGCTCCCACCTCGCTCTGTGCCCCAAAAATCCCCAGGGGCACTCAGGACCCCTCCGGGCCGGGCCGCACCCCCGCCCTGGCGCCTCCCAGAAGACGAAGAGGTTCATGGTGCCCACCTCGGTGAGGAGGCGCTGGGGGCCGTGCAGCCACAGCACCTGCTGGCACCCCCGAGCCCGAGCGGCCGCCTGCAGGGCCAGGCCACGCCCGTAGTTCCTGGGGGAAAGGGGCTAGGGACTCCTAAAACCACCCCTGAACCACCCCTGGTTGGGGGAACCCCAAAAACTTCCCCGGAACCACCCCCGGATGGGGAAACCCCAAAAACCTCTCCCTGGGGCTGCGGCACCCCAAAAACCACCCCGGAACCACCTCCGGATTGGGAAACCCCGAAAAACCCCCCGAATCCATCCCCGGCTGGGAAAACCCCAAAAACCTCCCCGGAACCACCCCCGGCTTAGGAAACTCCAAAAACCTCCCCGAAACCAGCCCCGAATTGGGAAACCCCAAAAACCTCCCCACTGCCCATCCTGGGGCTGGGAAACCCCAAAAACCCCCCCAGAACCACCCCCAGCTGGGGAAACCCCAAAAACCTCCCCCTGGGGCTGGGAGACCCCAAAACCACCCCAATGGGGCTGGGAGACCCCAAATCCTCCCCTTGCAGCTGGAAGACCCCAATCCCCCCACCCTGGGGCTGAGAGACCCCAAACATCCCCCCAATTCATCACTCCCTCAGGACGCCCCCCCACTCCCGGGACCCTTCCCCTCCCGGGACCCTTCCCCCGCTCCTGAGACCCCTCCTCTCCTCAGGACCCCCTCCCCCCCCGGGACCCCTCCCCGCTCACCCCCAGTTTGCAGTCCCCGGGCCCCCGGCCAGGCCCGCACGTGCCGGGGGTCCGCCAGGAGCCCCACGGGGCTGAGGAGCCCCCCCGGGAAATACGGACCCACCGGGCAGGCGATGACGAAGAGCAGGGCCCGGCCCGGGGAGACCTCAGGTGGGCTGGGGAGGGGGGAGAGGAGAGGGGGTCAGTGATTGGGGAATACACAGAGACCCCCCTCAGACCCCAAAACCTGCACCCCGAGCTGCCCAGAACTCCCAGACCCCAAGAACCCCCTGTGAGCCCCAGACCCCAAAGAACCCACACACACACCGTGAGACCCCAGACCCCAAAGAACCCCCCATGAGCTCCCCAGAGCCCCCCGTGAGACCCCAGACCTAAAGAACCCCCGTGAGACCCCAGACCCCAAGAACACCCCTGAGGCTCCCCAGAGCCCCCGTGAGACCCAGACCCCAAAGAACCCCCACACTGTAGAGACCCCAGACCCAAAAGAACCCCCGTGAGACCCCAGACCCCAAAGAACCCCCTCCACTGTGAGACCCCCAGACCCCAAAGAACCCCCCACCATAGGCCCCCAGAGGCCCCCATGAGGCCCCAGACCCCAAAGAACCCCCGTAGAGACCCCAGACCCAAAGAACCCCTCCTCACTCATGAGCTCCCAGGAGACCTCTCATGAGCCCCAGACCCAAAGAACCCCCATCGTGAGACCCCAGACTCCAAAGAACCCCCGTGAGACCCCAGACCCCAAAGAAGCCCCCCATCGTGAGACCCCAGACCCCAAAGAAGCCCCCATGAGCCCCCAGGACTTCACAGACCCCCTTCCCCACAGGAGCCCTCCAGCCCCACGGGACCCTCCCCCTCCCCAGGACCCCCAAACCCCCCGCAGATTCCTAAGCCCCCAAGAATCATCCTAAACCACTCCAGCCCTCCCACGACCCCTCAGACCCCTCCCACGACCCCCACGACCCCCTCGAGGACCACCGAAACCTCCCCAGGATCTTCCCCCAACCTGCCCGAAGCCCCCAGAGACCCTCATAACCCCCTAAAACCCCTCTAACCCCAAAAACCCCCCAAAGCCCCCCAAAGCCCCCCACCCCTCGGTGCCGATGAAGGTGGGCCGCAGGTAGAGGCTGCCCTGGGGGTCTCGGGGCACCCAGCGCTCCTCCAGCCGAACCAGCGCCCGCAGGCACAGCAGCAGCTCCCGGCCCTCGAACGCCTGCGGGGAGGCACTGGGAGGCACTGGGAGCCACTGGGAGGCACTGGGAGGGAGTGGGAGGAGTGGGAAGGACTGGGGGATTGGGAAATGATTGGGAGGGGATTGGGGGGCACTGAGAGGGACTGGGAAGGGACTGGGAGGGAGTAGGAGGAGTGGGAGTGACTGGGGATTGGAAGGTACTGGGAATGATTGGAAGGGGATTGGGGGGCACTGGGAGGGACTGGGAAGGGAGTGGGAGTGACTGGGAGGGGACTGGGAGGGGAGTGGGAGGGGAGTGGGAAGGGACTGGGAGGGAGTGGGAGGAGTGGGGAAGGGACTGGGAGGGAGTGGGAAAGGAGTGGGAGTAACTGGGAGGGATTGGGAAGGAATTGGGGGGCACTGGGAATGATTGGGAGGGGATTGGGGGGCACTGGGAGGGACTAGGAAGGGACTGGGGGGGCACTGGGAAGGGCTCAGGGGGTGTTTCGGGGGAGTTTTTGGGGTCTCAGGGGAGTTTTTGGGGTCTATGGGGAGTTTTAGGGGATCCCAGGGGGTTTTTTGGGGTCTCAGGGGAGTTTTTGGGGATCCCAGGGGGTTTTTTGGGGTCTCAGGGGAGTTTTTGGGGATCCCAGGGGGTTTTTTGGGGATCCCAGGGGGTGTTTTGGGGTCTCAGAGGGTTTTTGGGGATCCCAGGGGGTGTTTTGGGGTCTCAGAGGGTTTTTGGGGATCCCAGGGGGAGTTTTTGGGGGTCTCAAGGGAGTTTTTGGGGGTCTTGGAGGGGTTTTGGGGATCCCAGGGGGTGTTTTGGGGATCTCAGGGGTGTTTTTGGGGTCTCAGGGGGTTTTGGGGATCCCAGGGGTTTTGGGGATCCCAGGGGGTGTTTTGGGGTCTCAGGGGAGTTTTTGGGGGAGTTTTGGGGCCTCAGGGAGTTTTGGGGGTCTTGGAGGGGTTTTGGGGATCCCAGGGGGTGTTTTGGGGGCTCAGGGGTTTTGGGGGTGTTTTGGGGTCTCAGGGGAGTTTTTGGGGATCCCGGGGGGTTTTTGGGGATCCCAGGGGGTGTTTTGGGGTCTCAGGGGAGTTTTGGGGATCCTAGGGGGTTTTGGGGTCTCAGGGAGTTTTTGGGGATCCTGGGGTTTTGGGGATCCCAGGGTTTTTGGGGTCTCAGGGGTGTTTTGGGAGTTTTGGGGGTCTCAAGGGAGTTTTGGGGTCTTGGAGGGGTTTTGGGGATCCTAGGGGTTTTGGGGATCCCAGGGGTGTTTTGGGGATCCCAGGGAGAGTTTTTGGGGTCTCAGGGGAGTTTTTGGGGCTCTTGGGGGGTTTTGGGGATCCCAGGGGTGTTTTGGGGATGCCAGGGGTGTTTTGGGGTCCCAGGGGTAGTTTTGGGGTCTCAGGGAGTTTTTGGGGGAGGTTTTTGGGGTCTCAGGGGAGTTTTTTGGGGTCTCAGGGGAGTTTTGGGGATCCCAGGGGTTTTTGGGGATCCCAGGGGTGTGTTTGGGGTCTCAGGGGTTTTTGGGGATCCCAGGGGTGTTTTGGGGTCTCAGAGGGTTTTGGGGATCCCAGGGGAGTTTTTGGGGTCTCAAGGGAGTTTTTGGGGGTCTTGAGGGGTTTTGGGGATCCCAGGGGTGTTTTGGGGTCTCAGAGGGTTTTTGGGGATCCTAGGGAGTTTTTGGGGGTCTCAGGGAGTTTTTGGGGTCTTGAGGGGGTTTGGGGATCCCAGGGGGTGTTTTGGGATCCCAGGGGTGCTTTTGGGGTCTCAAGGGAGTTTTTGGGGTCTTGGAGGGGTCTTGGGGGTGCCAGGGGAGTTTTGGGGTCTCAGGGGGTGTTTTGGGATCCCAGGGGTGTTTTGGGGTCTCAAGGGGTGTTTTGGGGATCCCGGAGTGTTTTGGGGATCCCAGGGGGTGTTTTGGGGTCTCAGGGGTAGTTTTTGGGGTCTCGGAGGGTCTTGGGGATCCCAGGGGGTGTTTTGGGGGTCCTGGGGTGTTTTGGGGTCCCAGGGGTGTTTTGGGGAGTTTTTTGGGGTCTCAGGGGAGTTTTGGGGTCTCAGGGGGGTTTTGGGGTCCCAGGGGTGTTTTGGGGATCCCAGGGGTGTTTTGGGGTCTCAGGGGGTTTTGGGGATCCTAGGGGTGTTTTTGGGGGTCTCAGAGGGTGTTTTGGGGATCCCAGGGGAGTTTTTGGGGTCTCAGGGAGTTTTTGGGGTCTTGGAGGGGTTTTGGGGATCCTAGGGGTGTTTTGGGGGTCTCAGAGGGTGTTTTGGGGATCCCAGGGGAGTTTTTGGGGGTCTCAAGGGAGTTTTTGGGGTCTTGGAGGGGTTTTGGGGATCCCAGGGGTGTTTTGGGGATCCCAGGGGAGTTTTTGGGGTCTCAAGGAGTTTTTGGGGTCTTGGAGGGGTTTGGGGATGCCAGGGAGTGTTTTGGGGGCTCTGGGGGTGTTTTGGGGATCCCAGGGGGTGTTTTGGGGTCTCAAGGGAGTTTTTGGGGTCCCAGGAGTTTTTGGGGATCCCAGGGGGTGTTTTGGGGTCTCAGGGGAGTTTTTGGGGGTCTTGGAGGGGTTTTGGGGATCCCAGGGGGTGTTTTGGGGGCTCTGGGGGTGTTTTGGGGGCTCAGGGGGTTTTGGGGGAGTTTTTTGGGGGTCTCAGGGAATTTTGGGGGTCTTGGAGGGGTTTTGGGGATCCCAGGGGTGTGTTTTGGGGATCCCAGGGGGTGTTTTGAGGGTCTCAGAGGGTTTTTGGGGATCCCAGGGGTGTTTTGGGGTCTCAGGAGAGCTTTTGGGGGTCTCTGAGGGTTTTGGGGATCCCAGGGGAGTTTTTGGGGGTCTCAAGGGAGTTTTTGGGGTCTTGGAGGGGTTTTGGAGGATCCCAGGGGTGTTTTGGGGTCTCAGGGGTTTTTGGGGTGTCTGGGGGCTCTGGGGGTGTCTGGGGTCCTGGGGTCTCACTGACGGGCAGGCAGACCCTCCTGGCCGATCTCTGCATCCTCTCCACGTTCAGTTCGGGCGGAAAAGGCGAATTTTGGCGTCATCACCCCGATAGGCCTTGAGACCCTCGAAGAGCTGGGGGAGGGGGTAGAGGGTTAGGGGGTCCCTAGGGGGTTTAGGGGTCCCTAGGGGGTTTAGGGGTCCCAGGGTGGATTTAGGGGGGTTTAGGGGAGATTTTGGGAGTCCCACCCACCTCCACCCCATAGTGCAGGGCTGGGGGTCCCAAGGGAGATTTTGGGGGTCCCAGGGGGGGTTTAGGGGGGATTTTGGGGGTCTCCTGGGGGTCCCACCTGCCTCCACCCCACAGTGCAGGGCTGGGGGTCCCAGGGGGGGTTTAGGGGGTCCCAGGGTGGATTTAGGGGGGTTTAGGGGAGATTTTGGGAGTCCCACCCGCCTCCACCCCATAGTGCAGGGCTGGAGGTCCCAAGGGAGATTTTGGGGATCCAGGGGGGCTTAGGGGATTTTGGGGGTTTAGGGGGGTCTCCTGGGGGTCCCACCCACTTCCACCCCATAGTGCAGGGCAGGGGGTTCCAGGGGGGATTTTGGGGATCCCAGGGTGGATTTAGGGGGGATTTTGGAGGGTTTAGGGGGGTCTCCTGGGGGTCCCACCTGCCTCCACCCCGTAGTGCAGGGCAGGGGGTTCCAGGGGGGATTTTGGGGGTCCCAGGGTGGGTTTAGGGGATTTTGGGGTCCCAGGTGGGTTCTGGGGTCCCACCTGCCTCCACGCCATAGTGCAGGGCAGGGGTCCCAGGGTGGATTTTGGGGGTCCCAGGTTGGGTTTAGGGGATTTGGGGTTTTGGGGTCTCCTGGGGTCCCACCCACTTCCACCCCATAGTGCAGGGCTGGGGGTCCCAAGGGAGATTTTGGGGGTCCCAGGGGGGGTTTAGGGGGGATTTTGGGTTTTTTTGGGGGGTCTCCTGGGGGTCCCACCTGCCTCCACCCCGTACTGCAGGGCTGGGGGTCCCAGGGGTGGATTTTCGGGGTCCCAGGGTGGATTTAGGGGGGATTTTGGGGGGTCTTCCAGGGGTCCCACCCACCTTGACACTGTAGTGCAGGGCAGGGGGTGCCAGGGGTGGATTTTGGGGGTCCCAGGATGGGTTTAGGTGGATTTAGGATGGATTTTGGGGGTCCCAGGGTGGGTTTAGGATGGATTTTGAGGGTCCTAGGGTGGGTTTAGGTGGATTTAGGATGGATTTTGGGGGTCCCAGGGTGTGTTTAGGGTGGATTTTGGGGGTCCCAGGGTGGGTTTAGGTGGGTTTAGGATGGATTTTGGGGGTCCCAGGGAGGATTTTGGGGGTCCCAGGGAGGTTTTTGGGGGTCCCACGCACCTCAACACCGTAGTGCAGGGCAGAGCTGGCAGGGTGCAGGCTGAGGGGCCGGAAGGGGTGGATTTTGGGGGTCCCAGGGGGGGGGTTTTTGGGGGTCCCAGGGAGGTTTTTGGGGGTCCCACCCACCTCGACGCCGTAGTGCAGGGCAGAGCTGGCGGGGTGCAGGCTGAGGGGCCGGAAGGGGTGGATTTTGGGGGTCCCAGGGTGGATTTTGGGGGGATTTTGGGGGTCCCACCCACCTCGACGCCGTAGTGCAGGGCAGAGCTGGCGGGGTGCAGGCTGAGGGGCTGGAAGGGGTGGATTTTGGGGGTCCCAGGGAGGTTTTTGGGGGTCCCAGGGAGGTTTTTGGGGGTCCCAGGGTGGATTTTGGGGGTCCCAGGGTGGGTTTTGGGTGGATTTTGGGGGGGTTTTGGGGGTCCCACCCACCTCAACGCCGTAGTGCAGGGCAGAGCTGGCGGGGTGCAGGCTGAGGGGCCGGAAGGGGTGGATTTTGGGGGTCCCAGGGTGGGTTTAGGTGGGTTTAGGTGTGTTTAGGATGGATTTAGGTGGATTTAGGATGGATTTTGGGGGGTTTAGGGGGGATTTTGGGGGTCCCACCCACCTCAACGCCGTAGTGCAGGGCAGAGCTGGCGGGGTGCAGGCTGAGGGGCCGGAAGGGGTGGATTTTGGGGGTCCCAGGGTGTTTTTGGGTGGATTTTGGGGGTCCCACCCACCTCGACACCGTAATGCAGGGCAGAGCTGGCGGGGTGCAGGCTGAGGGGCCCGAAGGGGTGGATTTTGGGGGTCCCCCAGCCCCCCTGGCGGTTCCACTCCACGCTCAGCATGTGGTCGGTGAAGAAGGTGCCGAAGGGGAGGTCGGGCCGGGCCGGGGGTCCCGGGGTCGGGTGGGCTCCACCTCCAGCTCCGAGGCCTGGGGGTCAGGGGTCAGGGGGGTTCAGGGGAGGATTTTGGGGTCTCCCAACCCCTCCCATGAGGGATTTTGGGGTCCGGCCCCGGACTCACCCTGAAGGTGCTGCCGTGGCTGCGCCGCAGGAGCCTCGCCAGGAGCTGGGGAGGTCAGGACCCTCCCAGTTTGGGCCAGTTTGGCCCAGTTTGGGCCCAGTTTGGGCCCAGGGAGAGGGAGGGGGAGGGGCCTCGATCGAGCGCCGGGTCCGGCCCCTCCCCCAAACTCTGGACTTTGATCCCCCCCCACCCCAAAACCCTCCCGGAGCCGCCATCGCAGGGACACGCGGGACTGGGAGCACTGGGAGGAACTGGGAGAGGCCTGGGGGGCACTGGGAGGACTGGGAGAGGCCTGGGGAGCACTGGGAGGGACTGGGGGCACTGGGAGGAACTGGGAGGCCTGGGGCACTGGGAGGAACTGGGAGGGTGTGTGGGGGGCACTGGGAAGAACTGGGAGGGTTTGGGGGGCACTTGGAGGGACTGGGGGGCACTGGGAGGACTGGGAGAGGCCTGGGGAGCACTGGGAGGGACTGGGAGCACTGGGAGGAACTGGGAGAGGCCTGGGGGGCACTGAGAGAGGTTTGGGGGCACTGGGAGGGAACTGGGAGGGTGTGAGGGGCACTGGGAGGGTCTGGGAGGGTCTGGGCGGCACTTGGTGGGTCTGAGGGGCACTGGGAGGGAACTGGGAGGGTGTGTGGGGGGCACTGGGAGGGTCTGGGGGGCACTGGGAGGGTCTGAAGGGCACTGGGAGGGTCTGAGGGGGCCACTGGGAGGAACTGGGACCGTCTTGGGGGGGCACTGGGTGGAACTGGGAGGGCATTGGGAGCACTGGGAAGGGCGCCTGAATGGAACTGGGAAGCCCTGCAGGGCACTGGGAAGGTCTGAGGGGCACTGGGAAGGGCTAAGGGGCACTGGGAGCACTGGGATGGGCACTGGGAAGGTCTGAGGGGCACTGGGAGCACTGGGATGGGCACTGGGAAGGTCTGAGGGGCACTGGGAGCACTGGGATGGGCACTGGGAAGGTCTGAGGGGCACTGGGAGCACTGGGATGGGCACTGGGAAGGGCTGAGGGGCACTGGGGAGGTCTGGGGGGCACTGGGAAGGGCTAAGGGGCACTGGGAGCACTGGGATTGGCACTGGGAAGGTCTGAGGGGCACTGGGAGCACTGGGATTGGCACTGGGGAGGTCTGAGGGGCACTGGGAGCACTGGGATTGGCACTGGGGAGGTCTGGGGGGCACTGGGAGGGTTCGCTGGAGTTACTGGGAGAGTCACTGGTGCCACTGGTGTCCCTGGGAGGGGTCACTGGGAGGAACACTGGGAGGAGCATTGGGAGGAGCACTGGGAGGGGTCACTGGGAGCACTGGGAGGGGTCACTGGAGAGGTCACTGGGATCACTGGGAGCACTGAGAGGGGTCACTGGTGTCCCTCGGAGGGGTCACTGGGAGGAACACTGGGAGCACTGGGAGGGATCACTGGGAGGGGTCACTGGGAGCACTGGGAGGGATCACTGGTGGGATCACTGGGAGCACTGGGAGGGGTCACTGGGAGCACTGGGAGGGATCACTGGTGTCCCTCGGAGGGGTCACTGGGAGGAACACTGGGAGCACTGGGAGGGATCACTGGGAGGGGTCACTGGGAGCACTGGGAGCACTGGGAGCACTGGAGGGGTCACTGGGAGCACTGGGAGGGGTCACTGGGAGGGGTCACTGGGAGCACTGGGGGGGGGCCCTGGAGGGGTCAGTGGGAGCACTGGGAGGGGTCACTGGGAGCACTGGGAGGGATCACTGGTGTCACTGGGAGCACTAGGAAGGGTCACTGGTGTCACTGGGAGCACTGGGAGGGGTCGCTGGGATCACTGGGAGGGGTCCCTGGAGGGGTCGCTGGGAGCACTGGGAGGGGGTCACTGGGAGCACTGGGAGGGGGCCCTGGAGGGGTCACTGGGAGCACTGGGAGGAATCACTGGTGTCACTGGGAGTCCCCGCGGGCCGCGCTGGGAGGGGTCCCCACTGTCCCTGGGAGGTCCCCGCCGTCACTGGGAGCTCACTGGTCCTTACTGGTGCCACTGGTGCCGCCGCTCTCGCCGCTCCCGCGCGCCGGGTCCGCAGCGCCGCCGCCGCCATCGCTCCAGGCCCCGCCCCTTTCCCCGCGCTCGACCAATGGGAACGCGCCGTGCGCGCCCCGCCCTCCGCTCGCCGCCAATGGGAACGCGCCGTGCGCGCCCCGCCCCTTTTCCCACCGCGGCCCAATGGGAAGGCGCCGTCCCGCCCCGCCCCCGCGCGCAGCCAATGGGAGGAGGGCTCGGCGCCGCGCCCCGTAAGCCACGCCTACTTTTCTTATAGCCACGCCCACAGTCGTAAAGAGCCCGCCCTCCATTACGTCATTAAATTATGCGCATAAACCACGCCTCTCTTTATTAATTTGCATATAGACCACGCCCTCCGACCAATGGAAGCCACGCCCCCTCCTCCCGATGAATGAAACGAGTTTTGGGGGGGGCGGGGCCAAAAAAAACCCCAAAAAAAACGCGGGGACCTCCCAAAATCCTCACCCCTCCCCCCCCTCCCCACCCCCAAACCCTCCTAACACGTGGGGAGCCCCAAAATCCTCACCCCTCCCCCCCCGGCCCCACCCCCAAACCCTCCTAACACGCGGGAGCCCCAAAATCCCCTCCCCAAACATCAGGGGACCCCATATCCACCCTGGGACTCCTAAAATCCCCCTGGCACCCCCAAAATCCTCCTGGACCCCAGCCCTGCACTCTGGGGTGGAGGCGGGGGGACCCCAGGAGATCCCTCAAAGCCCCCAAAACCCCATAAATCCACCCTGGGACCCCCTAAACCCCCCTCTCCCCCGAGCCTCCCCAAATTCCCCTGCCCCCAAACTTCCCCGAGCTCCTCCCTCACCCCCCAAAAAAAAAAAAAACCACCTGGGGGTGGGAGGACCCTCAAACTCCTCCCCACTCATTTGGGGACCCCAAAATCTCCTCTGTGTCCCCCAAAGTCCAAACTTCTCTGCCCCACCCCACCCAAGGAGGCTTTTTGGCCCCCTTTTTCCCCAATTTGGGGTGCCCCGCTCTGACCCCTCCCCCGGAGCGCGTGGGTGGGTTTTTGGGTGGGGTGGGGGGAGGAGGCGCAGGAGCTTCCCACGGGTGGGGGTGGGGCAGGTGGGGCTCCGCGTCGAGGCAGGTCCCGGCAATGGAGCAGGAGCAGCGACCTCGTCGTGTCCCCCTCCCACACCCCCAAGAGGGGCCCAGGACCCCAACCCAAAAAGCGATCCAGGGGACCCCCGGCCCCACCTGCTGGGGCATCTGCGGGGCCAGGGCCATCAGCCACGACTTCGTGCTGGCCCTGCAGACCCTGCCCCGCTCCGAGCACCAGGTGACACTGGGACCCCTCCTGGGGAGGGGGAGGGTGGGGAGACCCCGAGCCCAGGTGACACTGGGGACCCTCCTGGGGGGAGGGTGGGGAGTGACCCCGAACCCAGGTGACACCGGGACCCCTCCTTAGGGGGAAGGGAGTGGGGGGACCCCTGAACCCCCTGGGGAGGGGGAGGGAGGTGCCCCCAAACCCAGGTGACACCGGGGACCCCTCCTTGGGGAGGTGAGGTGAAACCCCAGACCCAGGTGACACCAGGACCCCTCCTGGGGGGAAAAAGGGTGGGGAGGACCCAGGACCCCCTGGGGAGGAGGAGGGGGTGACCCCCGGGCCCAGGTGACACCGGGACCCTCCTGGGGGTTATGGGAGAGTGGGGGTGCCCCCGAACCCAGGTGACACCGAGGACCCCTCCTGGGGGGAAAAGGGTGGGGGTGCCCCTGAACCCCCTGGGGAGGGAGGGGAGGGCAAAATCTCGTGACCCCTTGGATCCCCCACCCTAAAAACCCTGGGACCCCCTTGGATCCCCCATCTAAAAACCCTGAGACCCCCCATCCCCCGAGACCCCTGATTCCCACAGGAGGCTCGGGGTGAGAGGAGAGGAAGGAGGAGCAGGATTTTGGGGTGTCCCCGGGAGGAGGGATTTTGGGGTGTTCCCCCCCCAGGGAGGAGGGGGATTTTGGGGTGTCCCCCGGGAGGAGGGCGATTTTGGGGTCCCCTCCGGGAGGAGGGGGTTTTTGGGGTTTCCCCCCGGGAGGAGGGGGATTTTGGGGTTTCCCCCCCGGAGGAGGGGGATTTTGGGGTCCCCCCCCGGGAGGAGCGGGATTTTGGGGTGTCCCCCCCCCGGGAGGAGGGGGATTTTGGGGTCCTCCCTCGGAGGAGGGGGATTTTGGGGTGTCCCCGGGAGGAGGGGATTTTGGGGTCCCTCCCGGAAGGAGGAGGATTTTGGGGTGTCCCCCCGGGAGGAGGGGGATTTTGGGGTCCCCCCCGGAAGGAGGGGGATTTTGGGGTTTCCCCCCCCCAGGGAGGAGGGGGATTTTGGGGTCCCCCCCCGGAGGAGGGGGATTTTGGGACCCCCCCCGAGAGGAGGGGGATTTTGAGGTCCCCCCCTGGAGGAGGGGTTTGGAGTCCCGGAGGAGGGATTTGGGGTGTCCCCGGGAGGAGGGGATTTGGGGGATTTTAGGGTCCCCCGGAGGAGGAGGATTTTGGGCCCCCCCTCGATGTCCCCCCCCCCAGGTGGTGGCCGTGGCCGCTCGGGATCTGGGCCGTGCCCGGGACTTCGCCCGGCGCCTCGGGGTGCCCCGAGCCTACGGCACCTACGAGGAGCTGGCCCGGGACCCCCACGTGGGTGAGACCCCCGGGAGGGGGGGTTGGGGTGCCCTGGTGGGGTTTGGGGTGTCCTGATGGGATTGGGGTGCCCTGATGGGATTGGGGTGTCCTATTGGGGTTTGGGGTGCCCTGATGGGATTGGGGTTTCTTTGGGGTATCCTCCCTCCAGACTTGGTGTACGTGGGGGTGGTGAACACGGGGGGGTTTTGAGATCAGAGAGTTTTGGGATCAGGGGTTTTGGGATCAGGGGGTTTTGTTTTGGGATCAGCAGGTTTTGGGATCAGAGGGTTTTGGGATCAGCAGGTTTGGGATCAGCAGGTTTTGGGATCGGGGGTTTTGGGATCAGCAGGTTTGGGATCAGCAGGTTTTGGGATCGGGGGTTTTGGGATCAGCAGGTTTTGGGATCGGGGGTTTTGGGATCAGGGGTTTTTGGGGTCGGGAGGTTCTGGGATGCCCTCACACGGTTTTTGGGGTTTTTTTTGGGGTGCCCCCCAGACGTGGTGTACGTGGGGGTGGTGAACACGGGGGGTTTTTGGGGTCAGGGGTTTTGGGATCAGGGGTTTTGGGATCAGGGGTTTTGGGGGTCGGGATGTTCCGGGGTGCCCTGACAGAGGGGTTTTGGGGGTTTTTTGGGGTGCCTCCCAGACGTGGTGTACGTGGGGTGGTGAACACTGGGGGTTTTTGGGGTCAGGGGTTTTGGGATCCAGGGGTTTTTGGGGTCAGGGGTTTTTGGGATCAGGGGGTTTTGGGGTCGGGAGGTTCTGGGATGCCCTCACACAGGTTTTTGGGGTTTTTTTGGGGTGTCCCCCAGACGTGGTGTACGTGGGGTGGTGAACACAGGGGGGTTTTGGGGTCGGGAGGTTCTGGGCTGCCCTCACACGTTTTTGGGGTTTTTGGGGGTGTCCCCAGACGTGGTGTACGTGGGGGTGGTGAACACGGGGGGTTTTGGGGTCAGGGTTTTTGGGGTCGGGATGTTCCGGGGTGCCCTGACGGGGGTTTTTGGGGTTTTTTTGGGGTGCCCCCCAGACGTGGTGTACGTGGGGGTGGTGAACCCCTCCCACCTGCCCACGGGCCGCCTGTTCCTGGCCGCGGGCCGGGCCGTGCTGATGGAGAAGCCGATGGCGGTCGGGGCCGGAGAGGTGGCCGAGCTCGTGGCGGCCGCGCGGGAGAGGGGGGTGTTCCTCATGGAGGTGGGACCACCATCCCCCTCCCCTCCCCCCGGCCCATCATCCCCCTCCCACCCTCCCACCATCCCCCTCCCCTTCCTCCCATCCCACCATCCCCCTTCCCAGTGACCCCCATTCCCAGTGACCCCCTCCCCATTCCCAGTGACCCCTCCCCATTCCCAGTGCCCCCTCCCCATTCCCAGTGCCCCCTCCCCATTCCCAGTGACCCCCTCCCCATTCTCAGTGAGTCCCCTCCCTTCTCCCAGTGATCCCATCCCATTCCCAGTGACCCCCCCATTCTCAGTGACCCCCATTTCCAGTAACCCCCATTCCCAGTGACCCCTCCCTTCTCCCAGTGATCCCCCATGCCCAGTGCCCCCTCCCATTCCCAGTGAGTCCCCCTTCTCCCAGTGCCCCTCATTCCCAATCCTGCCACTCACTGTAACTGTCCCCATTCCCAGTTCCCCACCGTTCCATTCCCAGTGCTCCCAGTGCCCCCTCATTCCACTCCCAGTACCTCCCTCCTATTCCCATTCCCTCCCAGTGCTCCCCATTCCAATCCCAGTCCCTCCCCTCCTATTCCCATTCCCTCCCAGTCCCACCCTCCTATTCCCATTCCCCCAGTGCCCCCCATTCCACTCCCAGTGCTCCCAGTGCCCCCATTAGCGCTCCCAGTGCCCCCATTCCATTCCCAGTGCCCCCATTCCATTCCCAGTGCCCCCATTCCCACTCCCAGTGCCCCCATTCCACTCCCAGTGTCCCCCATCTCCATTCCCAGTGCCCCTATTCCATTCCCAGTGCCCCCATTAGCGCTCCCAGTGCCCCCATTCCATTCCCAGTGCCCCCATTGCACTCCCAGTGCTCCCAGTGCCCCCCATTCCATTCCCAGTGCCCCCCATTCCACTCCCAGTGCTCCCAGTGCCCCCACTCAGCGCTCCCAGTGCCCCCATTCCCATTCCCAGTGCCCCCAGTCCCTCCTCCCATTCCCAGTGCTCCCAGTGCCCCCAGTTGCCGCCTCCCTCTCCCCGCAGGGGTTCTGGACCCGTTTCTTCCCCGCCTGGCGCCGCCTCGAGGCTTTGGTGGCCGGGGGGGCTTTGGGGACCCCCCTTCTGTTCCGGGGCTCGCTGGGCTTCAACCTGGGGGGGGTGGAGCGGCTGCGGGAGCCGGGCCTGGCCGGGGGGGCCCTGCTGGACCTGGGGGGGTACGGCCTGCAGATGGCCCTGGCCCTGCTGGGGGGCACCCCCAGAGCCCTCTGGGCCCACGGCATCCTGCACCCCACCGGTAATGTGCTGGGGGACTGGGGGACTGGGAGGGGATTGGGGAGGATTAGGGGCACTGGGTGGGGACTGGGAGGGCACTGGGAGGGACTGGGAGGACTGGGAGGGGCTGGGAGGGACTGGGGGGACTGGGAGGGACTGGGAGGGACTGGAGGGGGACTGGGAGGGAACTGGGGTACAGGAGGCACTGGGGGGGCACTGGGGGGACTAGGAGGGACTTGGAGGGACTGGAAGGAAACTGGGGGTACAAGGGGGACTGGGAGGGCACTGGGAGGAACTGGGGACACTGGGAGGGACTGGGGGACACTGGGAAGGACTTGTGGGGTGAGGGGACACACACATGACATTCTGCACCCCACTGGTGTGGACTGGGAGGGCACTGGGAGGGAACTGGGGCTGCAAGGGGGCACACTGGGAGGGGACTGGGAGGAACTGGGGGTACAAGAGGGGACTGGGAGGGCACTGGGAGTCCTGGGGGCACTAAGATGGTCTGGGTTGGGGTTGGGGGGTGGTTCAAGGTGGAGAGGGCAGAGTCAGAACTCAGAGGGGGGGTCACTGGGGGGGTCCCTGTTCCTCCCCCTCCCAAAATGTGGGGGGTTCAGGGGTGGACGAGTCGGGGACGGGACGGTGAATTTTGGGGAACCGCCTGAAAATGTGGGGGGAATTCAGGGGTGGACGAGTCGGTGACGGTGACCGTGGATTTTGGGGTCACCTCCTGAAAATGTGGGGGGTTCAGGGGTGGACGAGTCGGTGACGGTGACCGTGGATTTTGGGGTCACCTCCTGAAAATGTGGGGGGGTTCAGGGGTGGACGAGTCGGTGACGGTGACCGTGGATTTCGGGGGGCACCGCCTGGCCGTCATCACCTGCTCCATGGCCGCGGGGCTGCCGGGGGGAGTCGCCCTGGGGGCACTCCGGGCTGGCCGGTCGGGTGGAGACCAAAATCCCCGAAACCCCCACATTCCTGGGGGGGAGGAACTCCCAAAGTCTCCCCTCGGGGGTCCCAACTCCAGGTCCAACTTGCGCCCTGGGGCAGGCTGAGTGAGTGGGTCTGGGGTGGGGAAACCCCCAAAAACCCCCCAACCCCCCACATTCCTGGGGAGGGGAGGAACCCCCAAAGAGTCTCCCCTCCCCGGGGTCCCAAACTCCAGGGGGTCCCAAACTTGCCGCCCTGGGGGCACCGGGGCTGAGGTGGGTCTGGGGTGGGGGAACCCCAAAAAGCTAAAAACCTACCCCACATTCCTGGGGGGAGGAAACCCCAAAGAGTCCCCGGGGTCCCAAATTCCAGGGATGGGGCGGGGGGGCACCACGGAGGAGGGGTCCCCCCAAAAAGAAAGTGGGGCACGTGGGGATGGCATTCCTGATTTGGGAGGGGATTTCTTTTGGGGGTGGCCAGGGGGTTTTGGGGTTTCTCCTCTGTTTTGGGGTGAGGGGGTTTTGGGGTCAGGGGCTTTTGGGGTCGGGGCTTTTGGAATCAGGGGTTTGGGGATCAGGGATTTTTGGGATCAGGGAGCTTTTGGGGTCAGAGGGTTTTGGGGTCAAGGGGGCTTTTGGGGTCAGGGGTTTTAGGATCAGGGGGCTTTTGGGATCAGGGGCTTTTGGGATCAGGGGGCTTTTGGGGTGATTTTTGGGATCAGGGGGCTTTTGGGGTGATTTTTGGGTCAGGGGTTTTTGGGGTCAGGGATTTTTGGGATCAGGGGGCTTTTGGGGTCAGGGGGTTTTGGGATCAGGGAGTTTTGGGGTGAGGGGGTTTTTGGGATCAGGGAGTTTTGGTGTCAGGGGGTTTTGGGATCAGGGATTTTTGGAATCGGGGTTTTTGGGGTCAGGGGGTTTTGGGGTGAGGAGGGGTCACAGGGAACCCCCTGACATGTCCGTGTCTCCCCCCCCCCCAAAAACCCCTGCAGTTCCCTGACAACATGAACTGCCCCACGGAGCTGCTCTGGGGGGGTCGCCGGGAGGTTTTCCCTCTGCCCCCCCCTTCGGAGCCCCTCAACTTCCCGCACAGCACCGGGCTCCGCTTCGAGGCCCAGCACGTCCGGGAGTGCCTCCTGCAGGGTGAGGGGGGTCCCTGGGGGTTTGGGGGGTCCCTGGGTCAGGGGCGTCGCTGACCCCTCTGTGCCCCCCAGGGCTGACGGAGAGCCCGGTGATGCCGCTGGCCGAGAGCGAGCTCATCGCGCGGCTCCTGGACCAGGCTCGGGAGCAGGTGGGGGCTGCGGGGCCTGGGGGGGGCTCTGGGGCCGAGCCCACCCCCGGGGGAGACCCCTGAGCCTGGGGGGGGACCCCTGGATTTCGGTGTGGCCCCCCCTGCTCTTCCAGCAATAAAGGCTTTGAAAACTTTGACACCACGCGGGTTTGCGGCCCCGCCAACCCCCCCAGATTTGGGGGGTCCTGAGGGGATGATTTGAGGGATTTTGAGGTCCCTGACGATGGATTTGGGGGCTTAATGGACATTCTGGGCTCCCTGAGGGAGATTCTGGGGTTAATGAGGTTTTGGGCTCCCCCTCTCCTCCATCCCTGCGGGGTCTGAACCCCGTGGTGATTATTTTTTTTTGGGGGGGTTCCCTACGGGGATTTTGTTCCATTTTCGTCCCCACGCCCGGGGGGGGGCCCCCAGTTCATCCCAGCTGAGCCCAGTTTGTTCCAGTCAAGGCCTTTAATTAGAGCAGGACCCCGTGCTGCCGCAGCACCGCCGTGAACTTCGCCGCCTTGGCCTCCACGCTGCGCAGGCGCGGCGCCGAAGGCTCTGGGGGGGGAAAAAAAGTGGGGTCAGAGGGTCCCCAGCACCCCCCAGGGAGGAGACACAACCAGGAGACCCCCCCTCAGTGCTCCCACACCCCCCCAGTGCTCCCAAACCCCCGGCTCCCAAACCCCCCATTGCTCCCAAACCCCTCAGTGCTCCCAAACCCCCAGCGCTCCCAAACCCCCCCCATAGCTCCCAAACCCCCCAGCGCTCCCAACAAACCCCCAGTGCTCCCAAACCCAAACCCCCAGCCTCCCAAACCCCCTCAGTGCTCCCAAACCCTCCCCAGTGCTCCCAAACCCCCAGTGCTCCCAAACCCCCCTCAGTGCTCCCGCAAACCCCCCCAGTGCCCCCCAAACCCCCAGTGCTCCCAAACCCCCCAGTGCTCCCAAACCCCCCAGTGCTCCCAAACCCCAGTGCTCCCAAACCCCTCTGCGCTCCCAAACCCCCCAGTGCTCCCAAACCCCCCACAGCGCTCCCAAACCCCCAGTGCTCCTGAACCCCCCACAGCGCTCCCAAACTCCCCAGTTCTCCCAAACCCCTCAGTGCTCCCAAACCCCCAGCGCTCCCAAACCCCCAGAGCTCCCAAACCCCCTCAGTGCTCCCAAAGCCCCCAGTGCTCCCAAACCCCCCCAGCGCTCCCAACCCCCCATTGCTCCCAAACCCCCAGTGCTCCCAAACCCCCAGCGCTCCCAACCCCCATTGCTCCCAAACCCCCCAGTGCTCCCAAACCCCTCAGTGCTCCCAAACCCCCAGTTCTCCCACACCCGCTCAGTGCTCCCAAACCCCCATTGCTCCCAAACCCCACAGTGCTCCCAAACCCCCCAGCGCTCCCAAACCCCCTCAGTGCTCCTCCAAACCCCTCAGTGCTCCCAAACCCCCAGCGCTCCTAAACCCCCAGTGCTCCCAAACCCCCCATTGCTCCCAAACCCCCCATTGCTCCCAAAACCCCTCAGTGCTCCCAAACCCCTCAGTGCTCCCAAACCCCTCAGTGCTCCTGCAAACCCCCTCAGCTCCCAAACCCCCAGCGCTCCCAAACCCCCCATTGCTCCCAAACCCCCCATTGCTCCCAAACCCCCTCAGTGCTCCCAAACCCCTCAGTGCTCCCAAGCCCCCAGTGCTCCCAAACCCCCTCAGTGCTCCCAAACCCCCCCAGTGCTCCCAAACCCCCCAGTGCCTCTCAAACCCCTCAGTGCTCCCAAACCCCCAGTGCTCCCAAACCCCCAGTGCTCCCCAAACCCCTCAGCGCTCCCAAACCCCCATTGCTCCCAAACCCCTCAGTGCTCCCAAACCCCCTCAGTGCTCCCAAACCCCTCAGTGCTCCCAAACCCCCAGCGCTCCCAAACCCCCATTGCTCCCAAACCCCCATTGCTCCCAAACCCCCATTGCTCCCAAACCCCTCAGTGCTCCCCAAACCCCTCAGTGCTCCTCAAACCCTCAGTGCTCCCAAACCCCCCATGCTCCCAAACCCCCATTGCTCCCAAACCCCCCATTGCTCCCAAACCCCCAGTGCTCCCAAACCCCCAGTGCTCCCAAACCCCCCAGTGCTCCCAAACCCCCAGTGCTCCCAAACCCCCCAGTGCTCCCAAACCCCCACAGTGCTCCCAAACCCCCCCAGCGCTCCCAAACCCCCCCACAGTGCTCCCAAACCCCCCATTGCTCCCAAACCCCCATTGCTCCCAAACCCCTCAGTGCTCCCAAACCCCCCAGCGCTCCCAAACCCCCCATTGCTCCCAAACCTCCCAGTGCTCCCAAACCCCTCAGCTCCCCAAACCCCTCAGTGCTCCCAAACCCCCCATTGCTCCCAAACCCTCAGTGCCCCAAACCCCTCAGCGCTCCCAAACCCCTGCGCTCCCAACCCTCAAGCTCCCAAACCCCCCAGCGCTTCCCAACAACCCCTCAGCACTCCCAAACCCCCCAGTGCTCCCTAAAGCCCCCAGCACTCCCAAACCCCCAGTGCCCCAAACCCCCAGCGCTCCAAACCCCCCAGCGCTCCCAAACCCCCAGTGCCCCCAAACCCCCAGTGCTCCTAAACCTCCCAGTGCTCCCAAACCCCCAGTGCTCCCAAACCCCCAGTGCTCCCAACCCCCTCAGTGCCTCCCAAACCCTCCCAGTGCTCCCAACCCCCACGCAAGGAGAGCTTGCGGGCTCCCACCCTCCCCTCATTTATAGGGCCCCCCACCCCGTGTTTTTAGGGCTGCTCCAAACACCCCCAGGGTGCCCCCCACCCCAATTTCAGGAGGGTTTTTTTTTGCCCTCCCTTCCTTAATTTACCATCAGCTTCTTCTTCTTGTCGTAGCGCAGCTTGGCCTTCTCCTTGCGCTTCTCCTCCAGCGCCTCCGTCACCTCCCGGTACTTCCAGCCCACCTCGTAGGGCCAGCCGGCCCAGCACGGCGAACTGGGGGGGCAGGGGGTGGCTCAGGGGGGTCCCCAGAACCCCCGGGAAGACCCCCAGGCCCCCCCCCGAACGCTGCTCACCTTGCGCGTGGGTTTGAGCCGGATGATCTTGAGCGCGCCGGGACCACCATGCGCTGCGCTGGGGAGAGGGGAGGGGGATTTTGGGGGCTCACAGGAGAGTTTGGGGGTCATTGAGGGGTTTGGGAGGGCGGGAGGGGTCCTCAGGAAGGGGTTTGGGTGTTTTACTCCCCGAGGTGTCTCAGTGCTTTGGTTTCACTCAGGAAAGCATCGGACAATGTAGGTAAAGGTGACATCAATTGACACGGGGGATTGGGGTCCTAGGGGATTTGGGGGTCCTAGGGGGATTTGGGGGTCCCAGGGAGATATGGGGGTCCCAGGGGATTTGGGGGTCCCAGTGATTTGGGAGGGTCCCAGGGGGATTTGGGAGTCCAAGGGGAAATTAGGGGGTCCCACCGGGATTTGGGGGTCCCACCGGGATTTGGGGGTCCCAGGGGATTTGGGGAGTCCCAGGGGATTTGGGAGGTCCCAGGGGGATTTGGGGGTCCCAGGAGGATTTGGGGGTCCCAGGGGATTTGGGGGTCCCAGGGGGATTTGTGGGGGTCCCAGGGGATTTGTGGGGTTCCAGGGGGATTTGGGGGTCTCTAGGGGGATTTGGGGAGTCCCAGGGGAGATTTGGGGGTCCCAGGGGGATTTGGGGGTCTCAGGAGGATTTGGGGGTCCCAGGGGAATTTGGGGGTCCCAGGGGATTTGGGGATCCCAGGGGATTTGGGGGGTCCCAGGGGGATTTGGGGGTCCATGGGGATTTGGGAGGGTCCCAGGGGGATTTGGGGGATCCTGAGGGGATTTGGGGGGGTTTGGGGGTTCCCAGGGGGATTTGGGGGGTTCCAGGGGATTTGGGGGTCCCAGGGGTTTGAATCAGAGGGGTCTAGGGGATCCCGGGGAGTTCTGGGGAGCTTTGAGGATCCCAAAGTAATTTTGGGGTGGTGAGGGTGGGGTTTTGGGACCACCCAGGGGGAGGATTTGGGGGTCCCAGGGGGATTTTGGGGGTCCCAGGGGATTTGGGGGTCCCAGGGGATTTGGGGGTCCCAGAGCAATTTTGGAGTGGTTAGGTGGGTTTGGGACCACCCAGGGGGGGAGGATTTGGGGGGTCCCAGGGGGATTTTGGGGTCCCAGGGGGATTTGGGGGGGTCCCAGGGCAATTTTGGAGTGGTAAGGGTGGGTTTTGGGACCACCCGGGGGGGATTATTTGGGGGAGGCACCACTGGAATTTTGGGGAAATCTGGGGGTGGCACGGGACCAACAGGAATCCTGGGGGTTGGGTGGATTTAAGGGGGGGTTCCTGGGGGTCCCAGCCTGATTTTGGGGGGAGGGAGAGGGGGTCCCCACCTTGTCGTAGGGCGGGGGGATCCCATCGAACACCTTGAGCCGCTCCAGCGCCGCCTGGCCCCGCTTGGTCTTGTGGGGCAACATCCCTGGGGTTTTTTGGGGTGGGGGATAAAAAGAGGAGATCAGAGCGTGCCCCCAGCTCGGGGGGAGGCTCTAGGGGGGGTCTCCGGCCCCCCACTCACCCCTGACGGTGCGCCAGAAGATGCGGCTGGGGGCTCGGAAGTGGAAGGGCCCCCGGGAGGGGTTGGTGTTCATCCTCTTGCGCAGGAACGCCAGGAATTTCACTGGGAAAAAAACGGGGGGGGAAAAAAAGGGTTTGGGAAGTGCCCGGGATTCCGCCGGGAGCCGCGGGAGGATTTCACCACCCCAAAAAAAAAATAAAATAATAAAAATCCCTCCCAAAAACTCACGTTTGTTGCGGTAGAAGTTGCCGGAGATGTTGATGCCCTCGCACCGCACCACGACCACGCGGCGCCCTGCGGGGACACCGGGGATGGAGGGAGAGAACCGGGGGACGGGGAGGGGTCAGGAACGGCACCAAGAACCCAAAACCCCTCTCAAACCTCTCAACCCCAGGGACCCCCGCGGTGCCCCCCGCGCTCAGCTGGTAGTGCATGAGGGCGGCTCTCATTGCGGCGACGCTCCACAGCCTGAGGGGGCTCATCACGGCGCGGGGGGGGTCCCGGGGGGGTCTCCCAAGGGGGTCCTAGGGGTCTCTAAAGGGGTCCTAGGGGTGTCTCAAGGAGCAGGTCCTAGGGGTCTCAAGGGGTCCTGGGGGTCCTCAAGGGGGTCCCTGGGGGTCTCTAAGGGGTCCTGGGGTCTCAAGGGGGTCCTGGAGGGGGTCTCCAAAGGGGTCCTGGAGGGTTCCAAGGGTCCTGGGGGCTCCCAAAGGGGTCCTGGGGGTCTCCAAGGGGTCCTAGGGGTCTCCAAGGGTCCTGGGGTGTCCGGGGGTCCCAGGAGGTCTCCAAGGGGTCCTGGGGCCGGGTCCAAGGGGTCCCTGGGGTCTCCATGGGGGTCCTGGGGGTGTCCGGGGGTCCTGGGGTGTCCGGGGGAGTCCTGGGGTGCCCGTAGTGGGGGTCAGTCCCGGGGGTCCCGGTGTGGTTTGGGGGGGGGGACTCACCCAGCAGCACCTGCTTGGCCACGATGGCCGCCAGCCGACCCAGGAGGTGCCCGCGCCCATCGATCACCAGCACCTGCGGCACCGGGACGGGGGAACAGAGAGAGAGAAAGAGAAATAAAACACACGCGCGTTACCGGCACGGTGACCCCACCCGGGCTGACCCCACCGGGGCCTCCACGTGGCCGCGCCCGCCCCGCACCCGCCGCCTCGCCCGGGGCTCCCTCGCTGCAGATTCCCTTCCCCGAAGCTCTCAGAGCCCCCCTGGAGCCCCCCAAAGCCCCCAGAGCCCCTCAAAGCCCCCCAAAGCCCCTGAGCCCCCTGGGCCGCACCCGCGGCTCCGCCATCGCCGCCGCCCGCGCCTCAGAGAGGCCACGCCCCCGCGGGGCCGCCCGTTCCGCCCGCGGCCGCCGCAGGGGCGGAAGTGACGTCAGGGAGGCAGGAAAGTGGGAAGGGGCGGGGTCTCAGCTGCAGGGGGGCGGGGCCTGGGGTTGTAGGGGCGGGGCCACAAAGCCCCCGGAACCCCCAATATCCCCAGAACCCCCCAGTGTCCCCAAACTCCCCAGTGTCCCCAAAACTGCCCCCAGTGACCCCAGAAACCCCCCCAGTGTCCCCAGAGCCCCCCCCAGTGTTCCCAGACCTCCCAGTGTCCCCAGGATCCCCCCAGTGTCCCCAGACGCCCCCCAGTGCCCCCAAACCCCTCCCAGTGTACCCAGACCCCCAGTGTCCCCAAACCCCAGTGTCCCCCAAAGCTCCCCAGTGTCCCCAAACACCCCCAGTGTCCCCAAAATCCCCAGTGTCCCCAGACCCCCAGTGTCCCCAGAACTCCCCCAGTGTCCCCAAAACTCCTCCCAGTGTCCTCAAACTCCCCCCCAGTGTCCCCAAACTCCCCAGTGTCCTCAGACCCCCAGTGTCCCCCAGAACCCCCAGTGTCCCCAGACCTCCCCAATGTCCCCAAACTCCCCCAGTGTCCCCAAACCCCTCCCAGTGTCCCCAGACCCCCCAGTGTCCCCAAAACTCCCCCCAGTGTCCCCAGACCTCCCCAGTGTCCCCAAAACTCCCCCAGTGTCCCCAAACCCCTCCCAGTGTCCTCAAAACCCTTCCAGTGTTCCCAAACTCCTCCCAGTGTCCCTAAACTCCCCCAGTGTCCCCAAAACTCCCCCCAGTGTCCCCAGATCCCCCAGTACCCCCAAACCCTCCCAGTGTCCCCAAACTCCCCCAGTGTCCCCAAACTCCCCCAGTGTCCCCAGACCCTCCCCCATTGTCCCCAAAATCCCCCCAGTGTCCCCCAGACCCTTCCCAGTGTCCCCAGACCCTCCCAGTGTCCCCAGACCCCTCCCCAGCTTCCCCCAGTCCCTCCCAGTGCTCCCAGAGCAGGCAGAGCCGATCCGGGGTGCAGCCCCCGTGTATTTATATATGTACAGAACAGGGGGGGCCCGGCCTTTGGGGTCCTGGGGGCACAGGGAAGGTTGGGAGTCTCTGGGTCCCTGGGGTCCTGGGTCTCGGGGTGCCCTGGTGGTCCACAGTGGTCCTGGTAGGTAGAGGGTGTTGGGGGTGTCCCAGGGGTTTTGGGAGTCCCTGGTGGTCCCGAGGGGTCCCTTAGGGGTCCTGGAGGGAGGATCCTGGTGGTTCCTGAGGGATCCCGGTGGTCCTGAGGGGATCCCCGGTGGGATTCCCGGGAAGGGAGTTCGGGGGTTGGGGGCGGTTCCTGGTGATCCTGGTGATCCCGGTGGTCCTGAGGGGATCCCTGGTGGGGAGTGGTGGTTTGAGGTGGGGGGTGGTTCCCAGGTCCTGGTGGTCCTGAGGGGATCCCAGTGGAAGTCCCGGGAGGGGAGTTCGGGGGTAGGGCGGTTCTGAGTGATCCCGGTGATCCTGGTGGTCCCGGTGGTCCTGAGGGGATCCCCGGTGGGAGTGGTGCTTTGAGGTGGGGGGGCGGTTCCTGGTGATCCTGGTGGTCCCAGTGGTCCTGAGGGGGATCCCCGGTGGGGAGTGGTGGTTTGAGGGGGGGTAGGGGGCAGTTCCTGGTGATCCCGGTGGTCCCGAGGGGGATCCCCGGTGGGGAGTGGTGCTTTGAGGTGTGTGTGTTTGGGGGTGGGGGTCAGCAGGGGGGTGGTCCCGCCTCACTCCTCCGCATCCCCCAGGAGCCCCCCGGGGGCCGGGGTGGTGCCGGTGGCCCCGTAGCCGGCCGGGGGCCCCCCGGGCGGTCCCATCCCCGCTCCGCCTTCCTCGTACTCCCCCTCCTCATCATCCTCATCGCCCGGTGCGAGGGGCTCGGCCTCCTCCCGGGGGGGCTCCGCCCAGGGCTGCGGCTCCCCCGACGCGAAGACCCCGTAGAACGCGACCCCCGCGTAGTGCACGAGGGCGGCGATCAGGAACACCCACTGCCACTCCTCCCGCGTCTGCGGGCCAATCAGCGCCCGCCGCGCGCCGAACGCGGCCAATCGCGGCGCGCCGGGGGCGGGACAACGCCCGGGGGGGCGGGGTTAAGGGAGGGAGTGGGCGGGGTTAAGGAATGGAGGGGCGGGGTTAAGGAAGGGGGCGGGGTTAAAGGAGGGAGATGGGTGGGGCTAAGGAAGGGGGCGTGGTTAAGGGAGTGAGGGGCGGGTTAACGGAACGAGGGGGCGGGGCCAGGGGTGGCGGTGAGTTACAGGGTCCTAGTGCGAGCCCCCAAAGTTCCCCACCGTGTTCCCCTGCCTCAAATTGGGGTCCCAGTGCCCCCACCCTCGGATCCCAGTGCTCATCAAACCCCACGCTGTCCCCCTGGCCCCACTGACTCCCTCCTGGTCCCTGCATGCCCCAAACCCGGGTCCCAGTGCCCATCACACCCCACACTGTCCCCCCCGGCCCCACTGACTCCCTCCTGGGTCCCCGTGCCCATCACACCCCACACCATCCCCTCAAACCCCTCCAGCTCCCATTGCTGCCCCCCCAAGTTCTTGGTGCCCCTGACCCCTGGATCCCCTCGCTGACTCCCCACCCCGACCCCTGACCTTGTGGCGGGTGAGGGCTCTCACGATGAGGGGGCACACCATCCCCCTCAGACCCCCCAGGTTCTTGGTGCCCCCTGACCCCCGGGTTTCCCTTGCTGACCTCCCTGACCTTGTGATGGTGAGGGCCTCCACGATGAGGGGGCACACCATCCCCCTAGACCCCCCAGGTTCTGGTGCCTCCTGACCTTGTGGGGGTAGAGGCCTTCTACGATGAGGGGGCACACCATCCCCTCAGACCCCCTGTCTCTTGGTACCCCTGATCCCCCCTTGCTGACCCCCCAGACCTTGTGGCGGGTGAGGGCTCTCAACGATGAGGGGGCACACCATCCCCTCAGACCCCCCAAGGTTCTGGTGCCCCTGACCTTGTGGCGGGTGAGGGTCTCACGATGAGGGGCACACCATCCCCTCAGACCCCCAGGTTCTGGTGCCCCCTGACCTTGTGGCGGGTGAGGGCCCCCACGATGAGGGGGCACACCATCCCCGACAGGGTCCCCACGCCGTTGGAGAGCCCCATGAGGACGCTGGCGTAGCGGGGGGCGGCTGTCCAGGTGGTTCACGTTGAACCCTGAGGGGTCCGGGGTTGGGGCTGGGGGTCAGGATGCACCCCCACGTGCTGGCCCTCCTCCCCTCTCCTCGCCCCCTGTGCCCCTCCCACGGCGCCCACCGGAGATGGCGAAGCCGCTGAAGCCCACGGCGAGCACCAGGAAGGAGATGGCGACGGCGCGGGAGTGCGAGTAGCCGACCACCAGCAGCAGCGTGGCCTCCATGCCAAACCCTGGGGAGGGCGGGAGGGGTCGCCCCAGACACCCTCGGCCCCTGGGACCCCGGGAGAGCTCCTGGGGTGTCCCTCTTCCCATCCCAAACCCGGGCCTTCCCCCCACTCACTGTCCCCCCTTTTTGTCCTCCTCAAATCGCTTCTCCCCGTCCCCTTTGGGTCCTTCTTGTGTGCCACCCATCACCCCCTCCCTGTCCTCCTTGCATCCCCTCCCTGTCCCCCCCTGTATCCCTCTCCCTGTCCCCCTGTGTCCCCTCCCTGCATCCCCCTCCCTGTTCCCCTGTGTCCCCCTCCCTGCACCCTCTCCCTGTCCCCCCAGGTCGCCCTCCCTGCCCCATATCCCCCTCCCTGTTCCCCTGGCCCCCAGGTCACCCTCCCTGCCCCCCATATCCCTCTCCCTGTCCCCCCTGTGTCCCCCTCCTTCATCCCCTCCCTGTCCCCCTGCATTCCCCTCCCTGTCCCCCCAGGTCACCCTCCCTACCCCCATATCCCCTCCTGTTCCCCTGGGCTCTCAGGTCACCCTCCCTGCCCCCATATCCCCTCCCTGTCCCCCCTGCATCCCCCTCCCTGCATCCCCTCCCTGTCCCCCAGGTCGCCCTCCCTGCCCCCCATATCCTCTCCCTGTCCCCCCTGTCCCCTCAGGTCACCCTCCCTGCCCCCCATATCCCCCTCCCTGTTCCCTCCTTTGTGTCCCCCTCCCTGCATCCCCTCCCTGTCCCCCCAGGTCGCCCTCCCTGCCCCCACATCCCTCTCCCTGTTCCCCCTGTGTCCCCCTCCCTTCATCCCCTCCCTGTCCCCTCTGCATCCCCCTCCCTGTCCCCCAGGTCGCCCTCCCTGCCCCCATATCCCCCTCCCTGTCCCCCCTGTCCCCTCAGGTCGCCCTCCCTGCCCCCATATCCCTCTCCCTGTCCCCCAGGTCGCCCTCCCTGCCCCCATATCCCCCTCCCTGACCCCCCACCTCACCTGTCCCCTTCCTCACCCCTAAACCCCCTAATTCTGTCCCACCCCCTCACCGCCGCAGTTCATCATCTTCCTGACGTTGGTGGTCGACATGAGCCCCCGGGAGCGCAGGAAGTCGGCGATTTGGCCGCCGATGGGCACCACGATCGTCATCACCAGGTGGGGCAGCGCCGACAGCAGCCCCACCTGCCCCGGGGCCGTCAGTGGGGGTCCTGTCCCTGGGGAGGGTTTAGGGGTTTTGGGGGTTTTGGGGTCCAACCTTGCTGATCTCGAAGCCAAAGACCTCCTCGAAGTAGGCGGGCTGGCTGATGAGCAGCAGGTAGAAGGTCCAGCTGCGGCAGAAGTTGGCCACGATGATGGCGTGAGACGGGCATGGAGGTGAAGAACTGGCGCCAGGGGTGGCCATCTGGGCAAAGGAGGGGGGTGGGGGGGGCACTGTGACCTTCTGACCCCAGAGCTGCCCCGACAGGAACCCCCCAACCTCCTGACCCCAACAGGACCCTAGACCCCAAAACCTCCTGACCCCAACAGGACCCCGGACCCCAAAACCTCCTGACCCCAACAGGTCCCAGACCCCCAAACCTCCTGACCCCACGACGACCCCAACAGGACCCCACACCCCCAACCTCCTGACCCCAACAGGCTCCAGACCCCCATCTCCTGACCCCACAACGACCCCAACAGGACCCAGACCCCCCAACCTCCTGACCCCACACAGGCCCTGGAACCCCCAATCTCTGACCCCAACAGGCCCTGGACCCCAAAACCTCCTGACCCCAACAGGATCCAGACCCCCAACCTCCTGACCCCACAATGACCCCAACAGGACCCTGGACCCCCAAAACCTCCTGACCCCACAACGACCCCAGACCCCCCAACCTCCTGACCCCAACAAGACCCAGACCCCCCAACCTCCTGACCCCAGCAACACCCCGGAGCCCCCAACCTCCTGACCCCAACAGGACCCGGACCCCAAAACCTCCTGACCCCACAACGATCCCAACAGGACCCTGAGCCCCCAACCTCCTGACCCCACAACAACCCCAGACTCCCCAACCTCCTGACCCCAAAAGGCCCCGGACCCCCCCACCCTCCTGACCCCAACAGGACCCCAAACCCCCAACCCTCCTGACCCCAACAGGACCCCAAACCCCCAACCTCCTGAACCCCAACAGGCCCTGCCCCCACCCTCCTGACCCCACAGTGACCCCAACAGGCCCCAGACCCCCAACCATCCCCCACCGTGACCTCCTGCCCCCACATTACCCAACACGCCCACCAACACTGGGTTGGTGCCCCTGACCCCCCAGTGCCCCCCAGTGCCCCCCAGTGCCCACTCAGCAGCGGGTTGCTGCCCCTGACCCCCCAGTGCCCCCCAGTGCCCCCCAGTGCCCACCAGCAGCGGGGCTGGTGCCCCCAAATGCCCCCAGTGCCCCCCAGTGCCCCCCAGTGCCCCCTGGACCCCCCAGTGCCCCCCAGTGCCCACCAGCAGCGGGCTGGTGCCCCCTGACCCCCCAGTGCCCCCCCAGTGCCCCTCCCCAGTGCCCCCCAGTGCCCACTCAGCAGCTGGGATTGCGTGCCCCTGACTCCCCCAGTGCCCCCAGTGCCCCCCCAGTGCCCACCAGCAGCCTGGGTTGGTGCCCCCAGTGCCCCCAAATGCCCCCCAGTGCCCCTCCCAGTGCTCTCCCAGTGCCCACCAGCAGGGTTGGTGCCCCTGACCCCCCAGTGCCCTCCAGTGCCCCCAGTGTCCCCCCAGTGCCCCCAGTGCCCTCCAGTGCCCCTCATGCCCACCAGCAGGGATTGGTGCCCCAGTGCCCCCCAGTGCCCCCCCAGTGCCCTCCCAGTGCCCACCAGCAGGGGATTGGTGCCCCTGACTCCAGTGCCCCCAGTGCCCCCCCAGTGCCCTCCCAGTGCCCCCCAGTGCCCACCAGCAGGGGATTGGTGCCCACGCCTCCCCGATGCTCTCCTCGATGTACTTGCGCTCCTCAGGGGTGATGGTGGGGTGCTGGGCGGGCCTCGTAGGACACCAGCACCCAAAACATGTACCAGCACACCCCAAACTGCCTGGGGAGCAGGGGAGAGGGGTGCTGGGGTTGGGGGTGCTCACAGGGCAGGACACCAGCACCCAAAACATGAACCAGCACACCCCAAAACTGCCTGGGGAGCACAGGGAGGGTGGGAGGGGAGTGCTGGGGTTGGGGTGCCCAGGGTAGGACACCAGCACCCAAACATGTACCAGCACACCCCAAAACTGCCTGGGGGAGGGTGGGGAGGGGTGCTGGGGTTGGGGTGCTCGCAGGGTAGGACACCAGCACCCAAAACATGAACCAGCACACCCCAAAACTGGCCTGGGGAGCACAGGGGGTTGGGGAAGGGTGCTGGGGTTGGGGGTGCTCACAGGGTAGGACACCAGCACCCAAAACATGGACCAGCACACCCCAAAACTGCCTGGGGAGCACAGGGGGTTGGGGAAGGGTCAGGGGTGCTAGGGCTGGGGGTGCTCTACAGGGTAGGACACCAGCACCCAAAACATGGACCAGCACACCCCAAAATTACCTCTGGGGAGCACGGGGTGGGTTGGGAGGGGGTGCTGGGGTTGGGGTGCTCACAGGGTAGGACACCAGCACCCAAAACATGGACCAGCACACCCCAAAACTGCCTGGGGAGCACGGGGGGTCAGGGAGGGGGTGCTGGGGCTGGGGAGTGCTCACAGGGTAGGACACCAGCACCCAAAACATGCACCAGCACACCCCAAAGCTGCCTGGGGAGCACAGGGTGGGTGGGGAGGGGTGCTGGGGTTGGGAGTGCTCATGAGGTAGGACACCAGCACCCAAAACATGAACCAGCACACCCCAAAACTGCCTGGGGAGCACAGGTGGGTGGGGCTGGGGTGCTCACAGGTGCTCACAGGGCAGGACACACCAGCACCCAAAACATGAACCAGCACACCCCAAAATCACCCTGGGGGAGCACAGGGAGGGTAGGGAGGGGGTGCTGGGGCTGGGGTGCTCACAGGGTAGGACACCAGCACCCAAAACATGCACTCAGCACACCCCAAAACTGCCTGGGGAGGGTGGGGAGAGGGGTGCTGGGGTTGGGGGTGCTCACAGGGTAGGACACCAGCACCCAAAACATGGACCAGCACACCCCAAAACTGCCTGGGGGAACAGGGAGAGGGGGTGCTGGGGTGGGGGTGCTCACAGGGTAGGACACCAGCACCCAAAACATGAGACCAGCACACCCCAAAACTGCCTGGGAGCACAGGGTGGGGTGGGGAGGGGGTCAGGGCAGGTGCTGGGGCTGGGGGTGCCCACAGGGGGTGCTGGTGAGACATCAGCACCCAAAACATGGACCAGCACACCCCAAAACTGCCTGGGGGAGGGTGGGGAAGGTGGGGAGGGGGTGCTGGGGTTGGGGTGCTCACAGGTAGGACACCAGCACCCAAAACATGGACCAGCACACCCCAAAACTGCCTGGGGGAGCACAGGGGGTCAGGCAGGGGGTGCTGGGGTTGGGGGTGCTCATGGGTAGACACCAGCACCCAAAACATGGACCAGCACACCCCAAAACTGCCTGGGGAGCACAGGGGAGCTGTAGGGCAGGGCATGCTGGGGTTGGGGTGCTCACAGGGCAGGGACACCAGCACCCAAAACATGGACCAGCACACCCCAAAACTGCCTGGGGAGCAGGGGAGGGGTGGGGAGGGGGTGCTGGGGCTGGGGGTGCTCACAGGGTAGGACACCAGCACCCAAAACATGGACCAGCACACCCCAAAACTGCCTGGGGGAGCACAGGGGGGTCAGGGGTGCTGGGGCTGGGGTGCTGGTAGGACATCAGCACCCAAAACCATGAACCAGCACACCCCAAAACTGCCTGGGGGAGCACAGGGAGGGGGTGCTGGGGCTGGGGGTGCTCACAGGTAGGACACCCAGCACCCAAAACATGGACCAGCACACCCCAAAACTGCCTGGGGAGGGTGGGGAGGGGTCAGGGCAGGGGTGCTGGGGCTGGGGTGCCCACAGGGTAGGGACACCAGCACCCAAAACGGGCACCAGCACACCCCCAAAACTGCCTGGGGAGCACAGGGGAGGGTGGGTGGGGGTCAGGCAGGGGTGCTGGGGTTGGGGTGCTCACAGGGTAG